ATCTATCTATCTGTCTATCTGTCTGTCTGTCTATCTATCTCTCTGTCTATCTATCTAGCTGTCTGTCTGTCTGTCTGTCTGTCTGTCTGTCTATCTATCTATCTATCTATCTCTCTGTCTGTCCGTCCATCCATCGTTCTATTGCTACATCCATCCTTCCATCATTCGATCTATCATCCTATTGTTCTATCCATCCATCCATCCGATTCAGTTATATTCTCAATATTATCTATTTGTTTCATGTTAAAAAGATAAAATAGAGATGAAGGTATTCTTCAGTGGCATTTTTTCCTATTTCCCCCCCACTCCTGATATGGCATGGTGGGCCAAATCAAAGGGCATCAGGGGCCAACTTTGTCTCACCGGACCTTGTTTGGGCATCTCTGATCTAGATCATTTAAATCTTTGCTAAACAATATTTAACTCTCATATGGCTCTTAAATAGTCAATAAGAAACCACACATTTAGTCATTAACTTTCTGAGCACAAATGTTTGATTATGTGACTGTATGTGATGTTGTGTGTGTGTGTGTGTTTGTGTGTGTGTGTAGGGTCGGTACGTGACTCAAATCGACCTGCTGAAGCCGGTATCGGGCGGTTTGGGCTTCAGTGTTGTTGGCTTGTGTAGTGTGAACCGTGGAGAACTTGGCATCTTTATTCAGGAGATTCAGGCTGGAAGTGTGGCATACAGGTCAGAATACACACACACACACACACACACACACACTCCTGTCAGATGAGCAGTGATTTGTACACACAGCTCTTCTAGTTTGTTCCCATTTTAAAAATAAAGATTACTCATATTTTAAAGATCTGCTGCAGTTCTAATCTTAATCACAAATGTGTCACCAGTTCATGTCACGTCAGCATTTTCAGCTCAAAGTCACTGCTCAAGCTAGTTTGCTGACATGTTAGCGCTTTTTAGCAGTTTGGAGCCTCTTTATGAGAGCAAATTTCTGCCTGCTTATTATGTGGGCCACAGAAATATAGATATTTAGCTCACATTGTACTACAATAACAGTGTTGCATAACTGTGCTTAGTTCAACCATTAGGTCACCATTCACATTGTAATTTATTTATTTCCTTGTGAAAAAGAATTACACTTTAGCAGACATTTAAAAAGAGAACTTATTAGAAAAATAATATATGTTAAAAGAATATACTTAAGTGTGAACCGAATGTGATGTTTTCAGATGCTTAATTGCAATCAAATGAAAATGGTACTTTACATGTGCATTATTATATATGTTAGTCAGCACATTAAAATAAGTATACTTAACAGAAAGATGAACGATTATTAAAACAATGATTTGACATTTCTACTAAGTTCACTTTTTAAAAGTGTGCTTAAGTGTGTTAAACTGTCATGAAAGTGTCTCTCTTTAAGTCACTTTATTAATATTATATTATCTGCAAGTAGAGTTTTTTACAAATATACTTTTAAGATTTGAAGTACACTACAAGTGCACGTTCACTACAATTAAGCACACTTCTCTCTCACAATGAATTCATTGACTTCAAGAAAGCTTTCTTAAGGAACTGTTCACCTAAAGATTCATGTCATCATCCCGAACTCAATTGAAGCTTGAAACTCGTCATGTTCGTTGCTCTGTAGTGATTGTGAGTTGATCTCAGTACAGTTTTGGTTGTTAAACATATGTTTCTCTATTCTAGCGATGGAAAACTAAAGGAGGGAGATCAGATACTGGCGATTAACGGTCAGCTGTTAGATCAGAGCGTCAGTCACCAGCAGGCCATCATTCTCCTGCAGCAAGCGTCGGACCGCGTGAGCCTCACTGTTGCCCGTGGGCCTGTCCCGCAGCTCTCCAGCCCAGTCGTGTCCAGGACTCTCAGTGCTGCTAGCACACTTTCAGCACACTCCAGTGCGGTGAGACACAACACACACACACACACACACACACAGACAGGTTTACACTTGTGAAAAGTGGGGACATCCCATAGGCGTAATGGTTTTTATACTGTACAGACCGTATATTCTATTGCCCTACACCAACCCTACCCCTAAACCTACCCCTCACAGGAGACTTTCTGCTATTTCAGATTTTCAATACACTCCATTCTGTGTGATTTATAAGCGTTTTGAAAAGTGGGGACATGGGATAATGTCCTGAAAAGTCACCTTCTCCTTGTAATACCTGTCATACCTTTGTCATTATACAAATTTATGTCCTCATTTGTCACAAAAACGTACACACACACACACACACACACACACATATCATTGGGTTGGACCAATTTTTTTATGTCTTTGAAAAGAGTCTCTTCTGCTCACCAAGGCTGCATTTATTTGATTAAAATTACAGTAAAAACAGTAAAATTATGAAATATTATTAAAATTTTAAATAGCTGTTTTCCATGTGAATATCTGTTCAAATGTAATTTATTCGTGTGATCAAAGCTGTATTTTCAGCATCATTACTCCAGTCTTCAGTGTCACATGATCTTCAGAAATCAGTATAATATGCTGATTTGCCGCTTAAGAAACATTTCTGATTATTATCAATGTTGAAAACAGTTGTGCTGCCCAATATTGTTGTGGAAACTTTTTATACATTACCGTTCAGCAGTTCTGAGTACAAAAATGAAAGGAAATAAATAGTTTTATTCATCAAGGATGCATAAAATTGGTCAAAAGTGACAGTAAAACATTTATAATTTCTGTTTACAATAAATGCTGTTCTTTTGAACTTTTTATTCATCAAATAATCCTGAATACAAACAAAATGTTTCCACAAAAATATTGGGCAGCACGACTGTTTTCAACAGGTTTCATTGTAATTCATAATGGGAAATGTTATGAAAAAATCATTCTATTCATGGAAAATAAGGGAAATATTCTATTACATTTTTTTGGAAGGTTATGCCACTTGAATGACAAATATTTTGTTGAAAGTGGTATAAAAGTTTTGTTTCATGTCTCCTAAGCACCAAGGGATGGCTAAGCCTGTGAATATTCCTGCTGCGCTTAGTGGGGAGCGAGACATAATAGAGATGTGACACAGCCCCTTTATAAAGGATTCGGCCCCCTGCTGTTCTCCTTTTGGGATCGGAGTTCTTGCAGTTTGTTTGAACTTCAAAGTTATTTTCCTAACATCTGTGAACTGGATAAAGCACTCAAAGTTGTTAAGAGTAAAAATCAATAATCGTTGGTATTAAAAAATTGTCTGCATCGAGATTTGTGGTGCCTCACCCGGCTCTTGCTGAAAAAAATGTGAAGACCTCAAGCTATTACTAAGACCTCATACTATTGAATCACCACGGAGTGGTGTTTTGGCCTGATTTTGTCATCACACAAGTTTGTTTTCCTGACATCTTTGTGCTATATTTACTACTGATTAGGGCTGCACGATTATGACAAAAATCATAATTGTCGATTATTCCCTTGAAATTGTAATTGCGATTATTAATTATGATGATCACAATTTACGTTGAATGTTGTTTATACCATTGTTTGATGCAACTGCATGCCGTACATTTATATGAAAATAAACAAGCTGAAAACACTCGAACTGAAAAACGTTTAGTGCTTTTCTATAGTATTAACCCTCAAATGCCAAATATACATCGGATTGGTTTCTTCTTTAAGTGATACAAAAAGTAAAAATATGAATGGTATTATAATGTTATACTAAAACTGAAACAATGGAAAAACCCTTAAGATAACATATCTTAAGCGCGCAGAATAACATAAGTGGACTTTGAAAGATTAATTGCCGCTTTGAACGATTACGTAATTGTGGCATCCATAATTGTAATTGCGATTAGAAATTAAATTAATTGTGCAGCCCTACTAGTGATGCACCAAAATTAAAATTGTGGGGAATAACCGGAAAAATCAAGATGCACTTGGCTGATAACCGAAACGAAAAATAAAAAGTGATGTATCATGCCACATTAAAGAGCGTCAAAACCACATTTATGTTTTTTTGTATTATGGGATAATATTGACAGGCTTTGAAAGCTGAGACTTAAAGTAACAAAGCACAAAGCCTATTGTAATTATTATTGCATGGCAAGTGCTGTAAATAATGTTTAGTTAAAGTTCATGGATCAACAGAAAACAGCACAAACTAAAAGATCGATCTTGAGCTTTAAGAGTCAATATCAGTATTGATTAAAAATGAGAAATTGATATGGTTAATCCAGCACTGTTTACCCATTTTAGTTTATCCATGTTTTGTGCATGAAATAGACACCGACACACGCTATCAGAGAAACACTCATTTGGTCAATGATTTCGGCCCTACAAAACAAGTTTTGGAGCTTCTGCACTTTGGGAAATTAATACTGAGACACTGCACAGTTTTGCAATTCCGACTACACTGAATAGCACCATCAACTAGCGTGGAAAAAGGAAGGTGATCTATAGTGCCTGTGTGATACGTGATAGTCTTCATTCGTGTCCGCCGGTGTGTCATTCCACCAGGAGCGTAACTGTGTCGTGAGCCACTCCTAAAGGAGGCTCTTTCACAGAAGTCTTTGCAGCAGCAATGTGGTCGTCTGCCTTCATGTGGGTGAGTTGCCTTCCTGACACTATTGATATTGGTCATCCACTGGCTTAGACAGTCAGGAACCATGAATTAGGACTTGAGTGATGAATACAACAGTCAAAGGACTGGCATGTTATGGTCACTTGAACAACATGCATTATTGGTGAAATGTTTTCCAAAGAGGGAGAGCAGGGGTTGTACATAGTCACATCTCTTTTGTAAGTCTTGTATTTTGATCCCCGTTTCCCAGCTAACAAGGAACATTCTCAGAATATCCTCTTTTAAAGTTACAAACAAGTGTTCCTAATAGAACGTTCAAAAGTAACGTTCTTATAATGTTTGCAAAATTATAAATCAGAATGTTCCCCGAAGCGTCTTAAAAACAACTGCATGTTTCGAATGTTCTGAGTACTTGCCACACTCGTTTAAACTATTTAACTACTTTTTATCATCATGATGGCCAACCTTATTTGTAATTGACCCCCTTTTTTGTGTGCTTGTGCCATTTTAGACCCACTGGACTCACGTGGAGACGATCGAGCTGGTGAACGATGGAACCGGTTTGGGCTTCGGGATTGTTGGTGGTAAAACCACCGGCGTTATTGTCAAAACCATCCTACCTGGAGGCATCGCTGACCAGGTAAGTGCACTTTTGACCTTTTTATGCACTATTACTACCAGAGGTGTTTCTGTCTGTCTGTATGCCCCTCTCTCTGACCTGTTGTCCTGTCCTCGACGTTTGTGCGTTCTTTTCGAGCAATTAAAGAAAGACAAGTAAAAAAAGTAGGGCTGTCAATTTAATTAGGTGCGATTCATTTTAGAAAAAAAACAACACGTTAAATAAAGTGCATTTAACGCCCCGCCCTGCCTAGACCTGTGCATCATCTTACATTGCATGAAGTTGCTGATGAATGATGCAGAACGGCTGACTGTGTGATTTAGCCTATGAATGCAATTAAATGCCCCTAAAATTCAAGATATGAGGGTAAAAAAATGCCCCTGTATTAGTATTTGTCTTATATTTATATCATGTGATATAGTTTAGCAATATCACACAAGCAAGAGAGCTGTTTTTCCCGAAATATCTGCACCATTGCAAATGTGATATTGATTTTTGAACGAATCGAGTGAGCGAATGATTCAGTGACTCATTCATAAAGGCTGTGAAAATGCTGCCTTTGGAGGACACATTTCAAGGTAGGAAGGCATCAAGGCACGTTCGAATCCAAAGTTAGCTTCACTTCCTGCCTCCTGAGATACCTTCATATGGTCGATTTTTGAAGGCAGCATAGATGTATCCTTCCCTGCCTTTGATATCCCATGATCCTGTGCATTCCATTCCGTGATGGTTGAGCTTAGTTATCACCAATGCTCGTTCTATTTTGTTGTAGATCATTAAACCGTTATGCTGCCTCAGAAGCATGTCTGAAATCAGTTGCGTGAGGTGTCTTTGTGCGCAAACGCTGCCTGCAAATCATTGCCTGATAAGGCAGCGAAGTCAGCTGCCGAGGGTTTCTGATGCAGCCAATCACTTGCCTCATTTTTGAATGAATCAGCCATTTGAATGAACTGGTTGAATGACTCGATCATTAAGAAATACTTCCACCTATTGGCGGTTGTAGGTTCATATTTAAAGTATCATTTCATTTTTTTAAATTAATTTCACATTTCAATATTCAATTAAAAAAAACATTAATACCCATTATTTATGCTATGTTGAACCAAAATGTTTCTTTCTAAAGCTACTTTTTGTAATGTCTATTCAATGATTTGACACAATAATGACCTTAAATTGCACGGGATAATTCCTCAGCCAAAACTGATGTGCGATTCATTTGATTAATTAATCAGCACATCGCATATTTAATTTTTTAGATTAAAAAATTTGATTCGCTTGACAGCCCAAAGTCAACAATGATTGTCTAATAACTCTGTGAGGGTCCAGTGAATTCAACCCAAGAATGAAAATATTCGTGGTTGTCATAAAATCTGTTCATGAAATATACAGAAGTTCACCGTCTCTCTCACTGGTTCTAGGACGGTCGCTTGCGCAGTGGGGATCACGTCCTGCGGATCGGTGATACGGATCTGTTTGGTCTGAGCAGTGAGCAGGTTGCTCAAGTGTTGAAACAATGCGGAAACAGAGTCCGACTCCTCATCAGCCGCGGGACAGCGGATGATGCTCCTCCCACTCCTGTCACCCTGCCGACCGTCACTGAGCAACAGGTACAGCTGCATGTGCTATATAGCTATGTACATTTTCGGTATACATTTTGCTGTTTTGAGATTGACTGCATTGACTGATAACCGTGCGGTCTTAAAGGAACAGTACACCCAAAATGTTCTTGAAACTTAACTCACCCTCAGGCCATCCAAGATGTAGGTGAGTTTGTTCCTTCATCAGATTTGGAGAAATGTAGCATTGCATCACTGTCTCAGCAATGGATGCTCTGCAGTGAAGTTGCATGTTTGTAAGAAACAAATCCATCGTTAACACGTTTTTAACTTTAAACTGTCGCTTCTGGCTAAAATATGAGTCCACAATTCATAACAATGCTTTCTTCAGTGAAAAAGTCCATCTCCTGTTGTCTCTCACATCAAAATCCAGCCACATATTTGTTTAGAGCTGCTTTGGCTTGTAAATGGGGCTTGATCTGTGCACATTTATCTCCTGAATCAGACCAGACCACTTTTACAGCATTTTCAGCAAATGTAAATTTTTGGGAGAACTATTCCTTTAACAAAAGTGGTAGTCAATTCCAAAACCTACCAAAAATTTGCTCAATATTTACATTTTCTATTATTTATATATATATATACTGTATATATGTGCAATATCACACGAGTAGCAGTGCAACATGGCTGTATATCGGCACGGCTGTCATTCGGTCGTAGGTAATCACAGTGTACCGATATACAGCCATATCGCACGGCTACGAGAGTGATATTGCGTTTATACAACAGTTCGACGGCACAAGTGTGTAAATACATAAGAAACAACAACGGAGTGTCTTCAAAAACCATTTTTTCTTTTGTCAATGTCAACTTTATTTATATAGCACCATTAAAAACATCAATTGTTGACCAAGCTACTGAACAATGTGTCCAAAGACAGTCAATAATAAAACCAAATACTACATAACAGATTACACACACTTAATATCAATAACTACACAAATTAGCTTAAAGCCAAAGGGTTTCACCTTAAAATAATGTAGCGTAGTAGCAGTTCTGAAGAAAACAGGTCGGCTGAAGCAAATTTTCAAATAGACGTTATCTTTATTAACAAAACGCATACTTGAAGTCTAAACAAGTACATCCTCGCCTAAAAACACAAAAACAGTATTATTTATAAAATTATAGTGGAGTTGGGCGTCCATCATGACACTCGCTGTGAGAAATACCGCAAGCGGAGTGATACAAACTTTGAAATGGTTGGAGTGCTGTTGTCACTAGAAAATTGCACTCCTCTCAGCCAATCAGATTCAAGGACCAGATAGAACTGTATATATATATATATTAGTGCTGTCAAACAATTAATCGCGATTAATCGCATACAAAATAAAAGTTTTTGTTTACATAATATATGTGTGTGTTCTGTGCATATTTATTATGTATATATAAATACACATGCATACAGTATATATTTTGAAAATATTTACATGTATTTACGTCTATATTTATAATAATATAATTTATATTTTAAATAAATATTTTTAATATATAAACATAACATATTTTACTGAAATATATACATGCATGTGTGTGTATTTATATATACATAATAAATATACACAGTGCACACACATATATTATGCAAACAAAAACTTTTATTTTGCGTGCGATTAATCGCGATTAATCATTTGACAGCACTAATATATATATATATATATATATATATATATATATATATAGATATTTTATTGAGCTTTGAATCATACACCGAATTGTATTAATAAACAGAACTGATGTGCAAACTCAACAAACTAGTGATTATTATATTAAGTTTCCGATGGCAAGCATCACTATAATTATTGCTCAAGTCCACACTGTAAAAAAAAAAAAAAATCTGTAGTTTTTACAAAATAATTGTGGTTGCCAGAAAAATGTTGTAAAAAATCTGTAAAAACATTTACAGAACAAACTCTAAATTTTACAGAATAAACGAGAACATTTGAGTGTAAACTAGGAAATTCAACAATGCACACTGCTAGTAAAATCTGTTTTGTATCTTTAACATAAACTGACAACCACCATAATAATGCAGGTGGTAAAAGAGACAGCAATATGAAGAATCAGTTCATCACAAGTAGCTTTTCCACAAGCTGAAGTATATACTAATATATAGAAGATGCGCAGAGTAGGCTTGCTGCGATTGACGGTGTTAAGCCGCAACAGCGCCTGTTTGGCAGCATTTTGGATTTTGAAAAAAAAGCTGTAGTTTTTACAAAATAATTGTGGTTGCCAGAAAAATGTTGTAAAAAAATCTGTAAAAACATTTACAGAACAAACTCTAAATTTTACAGAATAAACGAGAACATTTGAGTGTAAACTAGGAAATTCAACAATGCACACTGCTAGTAAAATCTGTTTTGTATCTTTAACATAAACTGACAACCACCATAATAATGCAGGTGGTAAAAGAGACAGCAATATGAAGAATCAGTTCATCACAAGTAGCTTTTCCACAAGCTGAAGTATATACTAATATATAGAAGATGCGCAGAGTAGGCTTGCTGCGATTGATGGTGATACCGGTGTTAAGCCGCAACACCGGTTACGTCACTTGCCCACCGCGGCACCGATCCCCACCGTCGTTTGGTTTTTTGTAGTAATAAAAATAATTTAGTTCAGTAAAAGAACAGACACTACAATTAAAAACTGAACTCAATGCATCGTGCCGAACAACCGTCGCATCACAGATCAGATTTCATTTCTCCAGTGAGGAGAGCGAGTCGAGCTGACTGACGAGAAGAGTGAGGAGAGACAGACAAGACGATCGCAAACCCATTAAGTAAGTAATAATAATGGCAAGGGAATGTTTTCTTAGCCTGATGTGTTTGTTGCAACTGGCTGCAGGAAGAAACATGATAATTAGCAATAGAAATGATGAATTACGTTTTGTGTTACATATCAAAATGAACTTCAGGTTGACACCCTCGTGTAAGCTAACTGTGACTGTTAATGTTCTTGTTATTGTGTAATTGTCAAGTAATATTAGTTAAAAGTGCCTGAGTATGTATGACGAGAGTATCTTCTAAAACTCTGATATGCTGTTTATAGAAATACTTCTGTAAATTACAACACAAACATATTCATTTAAGTTACAAAAGGTACTGCTTGTAAACTCTGTAACAGGAACGACTCTTGACTGTGTGTTTGTATGTAAAGTATAATGAAGACTTTCACAGATACCTTTCTTTCTTTCTTTCTCGTTCTGTTCTCGCTGCTGTGTTTGTCTGCTGGCAGGGTTTTGAGGAAGAGGAGCAGGGCTCTTTCGATGTGAGCTTGACGAAGAACGCTCAGGGTTTAGGCATCACCATCGCGGGGTATGTGGGTGACAAAACCTCAGGTGAGCTTTGAATCATACACCGAATTGTATTAATAAACAGAACTGATGTGCAAACTCAACAAACTAGTGATTATTATATTAAGTTTCCGATGGCAAGCATCACTATAATTATTGCTCAAGTCCACACTGTAAAAAAAAAAAAAAATCTGTAGTTTTTACAAAATAATTGTGGTTGCCAGAAAAATGTTGTAAAAAATCTGTAAAAACATTTACAGAACAAACTCTAAATTTTACAGAATAAACGAGAACATTTGAGTGTAAACTAGGAAATTCAACAATGCACACTGCTAGTAAAATCTGTTTTGTATCTTTAACATAAACTGACAACCACCATAATAATGCAGGTGGTAAAAGAGACAGCAATATGAAGAATCAGTTCATCACAAGTAGCTTTTCCACAAGCTGAAGTATATACTAATATATAGAAGATGCGCAGAGTAGGCTTGCTGCGATTGACGGTGTTAAGCCGCAACAGCGCCTGTTTGGCAGCATTTTGGATTTTGAAAAGCCTGTTGACTTTTGCCATTTATCTAAGTTGATTTTGGAAACTTTTTTAAACATTCGTTTCTTATTTAATTGGTTCCGCAGTGTTTGCTGGTTTTTACTTTATTTAAACTTTGTGTAATTAATTTTATTTGACATCAAGGTGTATGCCGTGCCTCCAAGCTTTCTTATTCGTTTTGCTAATAAACGTTCTACGTTTCTTATTTATTTGGTTATATATTATACATGTTTACTTAGCCTATTTCCAGTTTTGTATACCTATTTAAACTTTATGTAAGTTATTTGTTATATTACATTATAGGCATAGCGTGTATTTTTATTTGTTTTGTTAATAAAAGTTCTATGTTTTATATATAGGCTAAAGTGAGTTTGACGTTGTATTTGGTTGTTGCATTCAAGCAATTGACGCCGAATTGTCTCTAATTCGTGAAAGTAAAATGCGCACGGTGCTTTTAAGCTATTTAAAAGCGAAGGAAAGCGAGGAAAATAGGGAAAATTCAAACAAACTAAAAATTAACGATTGATTTACGCCGAATTGCCGCTATTTGAAAGTGAAAGTAAAATGAGCGCGCCGCTTTTGCAAGCTATTTAAAAGCGAAGGAAAGCGAGGAAAAGAGGGAACGCCCGCCCCCGCGGTGATACCGGTATTACCGGTGTTGTCACACGTCGATTAATCGGTGGGAAAATGTCCTCACCGGCACAACCCTAGCGCAGAGTCATTCACGCAAACACTAAACACCATCATGGTAACATAGGAACATAAACCCACATGTACATAACTGATAACAAACATAACAAAACTATTAAGAAAAATGAATATTTAAACAAAAGACTTTCAAATGTGGAGTGTCACGCAGGGACAGTTTTTTACTGTAAATTATACGCTGATTTGTTCTTTTTTTTACTTCAAAAAATTGTGCAGTTAACAGCATTTTGCTGTAAAATTACATGAAATGTCTGGTTCGATATTTTACAGTTTTTCCCTGTATATAGTACGGGAACTTACTGTTAACCTATTAAATTTTTTTCTGTAGCGTTTCTACAGTATTTTACAGTTAGAATTACACACATTTTTTACAGTGCAGATCCTAAGTCTTAAACTTTACATTGTAAATGTTTTTATGTTATCAGTGTTATGTTGACCAACATTGTTTGTGTCCTAGTATATTGATTAAAAACATGAAACTCTCAATATTTAAAGATGGAGATCATATTAGTTTTCTTAGACAACCATAGAAAAATGAAGTGAACATACAGTGAGATTGAATTTCTGTTTATTTTTCTACATCGTTTTGAGTGGATGTTTTGCTTTGCAATCTTTGCCAAGTCTTCCCGGGTCCTGTGCATGTAACTATAACATGAAAAACCGGCAATTTATTAGGAAATGTCGCAGGTGTTTCTTAATATTGCCTTTCTTTAATAACGTGAAATGCTTTCTTGAGAATATTGTTTTAATGGCTAATCATTGTATTAAGTCCTCAATATCACATTTCATTCTGTTAGTCTTTTCTCTGTAACTAACAAAAGCCTGAGGCCAGTGCAGCAAACCCATTAAGTAAGTAATAATAATGGCAAGGGAATGTTTTCTTAGCCTGATGTGTTTGTTGCAACTGGCTGCAGGAAGAAACATGATAATTAGCAATAGAAATGATGAATTACGTTTTGTGTTACATATCAAAATGAACTTCAGGTTGACACCCTCGTGTAAGCTAACTGTGACTGTTAATGTTCTTGTTATTGTGTAATTGTCAAGTAATATTAGTTAAAAGTGCCTGAGTATGTATGACGAGAGTATCTTCTAAAACTCTGATATGCTGTTTATAGAAATACTTCTGTAAATTACAACACAAACATATTCATTTAAGTTACAAAAGGTACTGCTTGTAAACTCTGTAACAGGAACGACTCTTGACTGTGTGTTTGTATGTAAAGTATAATGAAGACTTTCACAGATACCTTTCTTTCTTTCTTTCTCGTTCTGTTCTCGCTGCTGTGTTTGTCTGCTGGCAGGGTTTTGAGGAAGAGGAGCAGGGCTCTTTCGATGTGAGCTTGACGAAGAACGCTCAGGGTTTAGGCATCACCATCGCGGGGTATGTGGGTGACAAAACCTCAGGTGAGCTTTGAATCATACACCGAATTGTATTAATAAACAGAACTGATGTGCAAACTCAACAAACTAGTGATTATTATATTAAGTTTCCGATGGCAAGCATCACTATAATTATTGCTCAAGTCCACACTGTAAAAAAAAAAAAGTTTCGAAACTAAATGCAAAAGCGCCTGTTTGGCAGCATTTTGGATTTTGAAAAGCCTGTTGACTTTTGCCATTTATCTAAGTTGATTTTGGAAACTTTTTTAAACATTCGTTTCTTATTTAATTGGTTCCGCAGTGTTTGCTGGTTTTTACTTTATTTAAACTTTGTGTAATTAATTTTATTTGACATCAAGGTGTATGCCGTGCCTCCAAGCTTTCTTACTCATTTTGCTAATAAACGTTCTATGTTTCTTATTTATTTGGTTATACTGTATATTATACATGTTTACTTATTTCCAGTTTTGTATACCTATTAAACTTTATGTAAGTTATGTGTATGAGAGTGTGTGTGTGAGAGAGAGTGAGTGTGTGTGTGTGAGAGAGAGTGTGTGTGTGTGAGCGTGAGAGAGTGTGTGTGTGTGTGTGTATGTCTTTGTGTGTGTGTGTGTGTGTGTGTGTTTTTGTCTGTGTGTGTGTGTGTGTGTGTGTGTGTGTTTCTGTCTGTGTGTGTGTGTGTCTGTCTGTGTGTGTGTGTGTGTGTGTGTGTGTCTGTGTGTGTGTCGATTAACCGGTGGGAAAATGTCCTCACCGTCACAAAACTAGCGCAGAGTCATTCACGCAAACACTAAACACCATCATGGTAACATAGGAACATAAACCCACATGTACATAACTGATAACAAACATAACAAAACTATTAAGAAACATGATTATTTAAACAAAAGACTTTCAAATGTGGAGTGTCACGCAGGGACAGTTTTTTACTGTAAATTATACGCTGATTTGTTCTTTTTTTTACTTCAAAAAATTGTGCAATTAACAGCATTTTGCTGTAAAATTACATGAAATGTCTGGTTCGATATTTTACAGTTTTTCCCTGTATATAGTACGGGAACTTACTGTTAACATATTATTATTTTTTCTGAAGCGTTTCTACAGTATTTTACAGTTAGAATTACACTAATTGTTTACAGTGCAGATCCTAAGTCTTAAACTTTACATTGTAAATGTTTGTGCTGTGGACGCATCAAATGCGGCTTGTTGAATATGTATTTAATGTAATTATTTGAAAACCACCTCACCATATTTAGAGTCAAAATCCTCACTTATCCTTTCATCACAGTCCCATGAAGCCTGATATTATATGAAGAGAGACTCGCACATCACTGATGCCCCTGTGTTTTCATGTCTAGATGAGAGAGTGTTTCTCACTCCAGAGGAAAATGCCAAACCTCAGCCTGACGGTGAGAGACTTTGTCATTTCATCGCTCATATCAGCGAATCGACTCACCGAGAACAGCAGGTAATGTTGTCATGTCTCTCTCAGGTCCTGAGGAGGAGCACACACTAATGCAGAAGTGGCAGAATGAGCTCGGCGTCTGCACTGAAGTCATTGTGAGTAACTCCTTTAAGCTTCATCTTTTAATTAGAAGAACTTTGTGCCACCAAGTACACTGTAAAAGTGATTTTTCAAGGTTGTAAATAAAACAACGATCATTTGAGTATGTTTTACAAGAAAATACTAATTTCTTCCAAAGTACTTCAAACTGCGATCACAAACTGCTTCGAAGTTTCATGTTTAATTCAATGTGTCATTTGCAGTCTCTTTGTTATTATTTCTGAAATTTACTAGCTATTTCTGAGAGTATTTTCTTGCAAAACATACTCCAGTAATCTTTATTTTATTTTCAAGTAAAAAATATTTTTTTCCCAAATTGTAAATAAAACAATGATTATAAAGATATGATGTACATTTACAATAAAATATGATTTAAAAATACTTTATATGTAAAATATTTGAATATTTAAATAGAATAAAAATAACTTTTTACTGTGTACACTTTTTTTCAGTTTTTCAGTGATTTGAAAGAAAGATCAATATTGCCTTTGTACTTTTTACTGCATCTCTGTAATTGCCTTTTCAAAATTAATGTTGTTGTGATTGTCCCCTACACAGAGTTATTAACTGATAACTTTTTTCACTATTTTTAATTAATGTGGTATTTATGTACAATTTGTCATTCACTTGCTGTCCCCAATATTGCAATCAAACCAAACACTTAGACACTAGAGTAAAACTGAGTTTTCCAAAAATATCTATATTTAGTTATTATGTAAATGAGAAGTGACGGGTCACATCTCTGCCGCTGCAGTTCAAAGATCAGAGATGTGACTGATTATTATATGTAGAGGTCAGCACATGTGAAATTTAGTTCATTTCTTTCTCTTTTGGATAGATTCAGAGTTAAAGCTCTGCCAGCTGGCTTGTTGTGTTAGCAAGGCTAAGGCTTACCCAATGTTTTTTGCAGAAAAGTGAATAATGTTATTACCATCACACACACAAAAATTCACGCAATCACACACTAAAACAAAACCAATCCAACTTTTGCAAACTTTTAAAAAGAGTATTTATTACAGAAATAATATACTTTAAAAGAATATACATAAAAGTGCATACCGAATGCAATATTTTCAGATAGTTATGTGCATGTTAACTGCAATTAAATGAAAATGTATCGTAGTTTAAAATAATAATTTTAAATGCAGTTAGTTGAATTTAAGATTGAACTTAAACAGGACTTAAGTAGGTACATCTTTATATGTAATTTCATAATGACTTCTATTGTCTGTGAAATATAGTTAAAGTACTGCTGAATGTACTGACAGGCATTTATGATAAACTTAAATGCATTTGTATTGCAACTTGTATGTCATGTATTTAAATATATATAGTATATCAACTTTAAATGTAATATTGAAAGAAGTGTATTAAGAAATATAGTCACTTAAGTGGCCTTTTATTTCATTCATGCCATTTTATCTATTAGTACAGTTTTTTAAAATATACTTTTAAGATTTGAAGTACACTACAAGTGCACAATCAATGCAATTAAGCGCACTTCTTTCACAAGTGTATATGTGAGCCTGCAGCACAAAAGCAGTGTTAAGTCGCTGGGGTATATTTGTAGCAATAGCCAACAATACATTGTATGGGTCAAAATGATAGATTTTTCTTTTATGCCAAAAATCATTAGGATATTAAGTAAAGATCATGTTCCATGAAGATATTTTGTAAATGTCGTACCGTAAATATATCAAAACGTAATGTTTGATTAGTAATATGCATTGCTAAGAACTTCATTTGGACAACTTTAAAGATGATTTTCTCAATATTTAGATTTTCTTGCACCCTCAGATTCCAGATTTTCAAATAGTTGCATCTCTCACAAATATTGTCCGATCCTAACAAACCATGCATCAATCTCAATTTTAAAAAATTGACCCTTATGACTGGTTTTGTGCTCCAGGGTCGCATATTCAGAGTGAATACTTAAGATAATTTTTTTGTGCGCAAAATGCCAAAGTAAAAGCATATTTGTTGAAACATGTTTGTATCGTAATCTGATATTTATTACTACTAACATCAAAATCTGTTTGTATGTGTGGAGTGAACAGACTGAATTGGTTTGAAGCAGATGACACACGTGTTTCACGCTACAGCAAGTGAATGAGGGACTTCTAAAGTTTGTGATGCTGTGATTCTGTGTTAATGCGTGTTCAGGTGGCTCAAGTGGAGAAGTTCAGTGAGAACAGCGGTTTAGGGATCAGTCTGGACGTGTGTGCCGGCCGTCACATCCTCCGCTCAGTGCTTCCTGAGGGACCCGTCGGGCGATCGGGAAAAATCTGTAGTGGAGACGAACTGCTAGAGGTAATACACATCCATCTCAAACAACCCACCACCAATATGCATCAAAAATCTAATTAATATTGGAATTTGGTCCTATTCTGAGTGTGTATGTGTCATATTTCTTTAAATCATTTCTAGCAATATGAACAAGACAGCAGGCATATGAATATATCAATTGTAATTTTAAAAGTCATGTAAACTTTTATTTGTAATACATACTTTTTATCATGTATATTGGCCAATTCCAATAGCTGCAAAGCATGTAAATGTTCACCAAGGCTGAATTTATTTGATCAAAAATACAGTAAAAACAGTAATATTGTGAAATATTATTACAATTTAAATATACAGTTTTCTATGTGAATATCTGTTAAACTGTAATTTATTTCTGTGATGCGCAGCTGTATTTTCAGCATCATTACTCCAGTCTTCAGTGTCACATGATCTTCAGAAATCAGTATAATATGCTGATTTGCTGCTCAAGAAACATTTCTGATTATTATCAATGTTGAAAACAGTTGTGCTGCACAATATTTGTGTGGAAACCGTGATACGTTTTATTTTATTTATTTTCATTAAATGATTAATTTCTTGAAAAATCTTACTCACCCAAACTTTCAATATGTTTTTTTTTTCAAAGGCAGATTCAGTATTGAATATTTGGTCAAATTTTTCAAATGCATGAACACACACTTTGCCGCGTAATAATGTTTTTAGTTTAGTGTCTCTTCATTATTTCCATATATTTATACGTTTGCATGTGTTTGTTCAGGTGAACGGCATTGCCCTCAGAGGAGAGACTCATAAAGAGGTTGTTGACATTCTGAAAGAACTTCCTGTTTCTGTGACCATGGTCTGCTGTAGACCCGCCCCTCTAATGACTGACAGCCAAACTGACCAACCACGGCCACAGGATATGGCCACTGATTCCATCGTTCAGGTGCATTAAATCCTACATTAAATATTAAGTCCAATTTATATGTAATATGTAAGATTAAATATGTAAAGGATAATGCGTATTCAGTTGGACATTATTGCAAAACAAACCCTTACTGTAGTTGCGGTCTTTAATTAATTTGAATTTATCCCTGCCAACAGAATTAAAATAGAATAATGGATAATATAATATGTTTAATTTTAATGAATTACCTGTTATCATGTTATCATAAATAGTCCATATGTAGTATTTCTAGAAACATTAGATGACATTAATAATCAGTGGTTGACTGATATTTCTCTCAGTGATCTCTATTTCTATTTTTTAAGCTTATTTACAAATTAAATAATTAGATAATAAAATATATTTAATTTATCAATTAAATAGTAACAAATTAAATAATAAAATTATTAAATAATAATAAATTAATTTATTAAATAATATTTTTAATTAAGCAATTTATATATTAAATAGGGATAAATGAAATAAATAAAATTGTTTTGTTAAATATTCATAAATTAACTTATTTATAATAAACATTTGTTTATATTTATTTAAATATCTAATGGTGGAAGTACACTTAATTTCCAAAAATGCTCTAATTTAGCCCACATTTTTTATGTAAGTAAAGTCTTTCCAGACTTAACAAGTAGATTGTCAAACAACTTATTTTAAAAACACTGTTTATTTGAATAATTGTTAATTGAATCAGATGTCATTCATTGAATCAAAACCCTCGTAATAGTGAACCAAATTGATCCTCTGTCAACGTAAATCTGTTTTATAATCATTCTATTGCAGTAATAAATTTCATGTTTTCCATGAGCGTGTTAAAGGGGTCATATGATGCAATTTAAATTTTTCCTTTCTCTTTGGAGTGTTACAAGGTCCTGGTGCATAAAGAAGATCTGTAAAGTTGCAAAGACTAAAGTCTCAAATCCAAAGAGATATTCTTTATAAAAGTTAAGAGTCAACCACGCCTACCTAAAACGGCTCATTCTAACACGCCCCCACATGTCTACATCACGATGTGGGACGATTTGCATAACGCCGCCCAAATGTTCACGCAAAGAAAGAAGGCGTAACTTTTATTCTCACTGTAGTATTGTTGCTGCTGCCATGTCGTGAAGACACTGTGTGTTTCGTTGTGAAAGCGAAACTACTTTGTTTGGTCTTCCAAAAGATGACGATATCCGCTTCGTCATGCCTGGAGCTGATCCGTGCTGGTCGCTGTGGAGCTGTGGATCGCCGGATCAGCTTTCACCGTGGACGAAGCGGAGTCCAGCCCGGGGTCATCACATGTGGTTGCCTCAAGCCCGTCGGCTGCTCCTTCGTCAAATCCACCGGCCTCCGCTCACTCTAGCCCTCCGGCCACCGCTCACTCTAGCCACCGGCCTCCGCTCACTCTAGCCCTCCAGCCTCCGCTCACTCTAGCCCTCCAGCCTCCGCTCACTCTAGCCCTCCGGTCCCCGCTCACTCTAGCCACCGGCCTCCGCTCACTCTAGCCCGCAAGCCTCCGCTCACTCAAGGCCGCCGTGTGTGACGCTGTTTCATTGTGAAAGCAAAACTACTTTGTTTGGACTTCCAAAAGAGGACACGACTAGAAATCAGTGGTTAAGTTGACTGTAAGTAAGTTTTCATATTTAAAGAATTTGCCACTGATGATTCAAACGCGAGTTTTGAGCAGTGTAGTGTAGCGCTTGTTGTTTGTCATTTCTCCGATCACAAATGCAGACATGGTTTTCTCTTTACGCGGCGCAATGCAACGCGTAAAAAGACAGTATAATTCATTATAATCCATAATTATGTCCCCACTGGAAGCAACAAATGCCTCGTTTATTATGGGTTTTAATGTTTTTGTCTCGTCGCTCCGGCCGGACACAGCATCACATTATGGTAAGGGGAGTAACATTTCCGTCTCACGCTTGAGGTATTCGGCCAATCACAATGCACTGGATAGCTGACCAATCAGAGCACACCTCGCTTTTCAGACCGATGAGATTTGTAACAATAATGTACAGTATGTGGAAAATAATGTGTTTTTTTAACCTTAAACCGCATAAAAACATTTCATTACACCAAATACAGAAAATAATGTTCTTTTTAGCAACATCATATGACCCCTTTAAACAAGCCTGAGTGGTTCAGTCAGACTTGTCTTTGTTGGGATTATATCAGATTACAGTGCACGTTATAATCTCTGTACATCTCGAGTCACTCTCAGAGGGCAGACCTTCATGCCTAAATGCCTGACACAGTTTAGCTATCAATAAAAGCTGTGCGTTTTGCATCCACCCTGTTAGATATGCTAGATTAAGGTGATGTTTTATGATTCTGAACCATTATTAGGGATTTTATTAGAAAGAAAGTTTGTGTTCATCTTGTTTGTGTAGGTGCCGGGTGAGTTTGAGGATTTCCTGGTCTCTGGCGAATCAGAGGACAGCCTGAAAGATCATGTGACTGAAGAGCCCACCGGAACGCCGTTAGCGATGTGGGAAACGGAGATTCAGGACATCGAACTAGAGAAAGGAGAGAGCGGACTGGGCTTCAGCATTCTGGATTATCAGGTGGGAGAGTGGGAGGACCTTCCTAAATTTAGACCTTCACATGAGAATGGGAGGAGCGCTTTATTTATTTATTTTTCACTGATTTATGTCTCACATGTCAAATACAAAGCAGTAACTCGTGAGTTTGTGAATCAGACTATACTTGTCGTGCTGTATGTTTGTTGTTGTGTACAAAAAGAGAGGATAATGCAATATTAATGTGTTATCTGTTTATTGTCTGTATATTATATTGTGGCAGCGATTCTCTTCTGAAAAAGAAGTGTGCTTAATTGTATTGAATTGAAGTATTGAAAATCTTTAAAAAATAATTAAATGGGAGTTATTTGACATGTACTTGCAAATGAATGGGAGTTAGTTGACATGTACTTGCAAATTAATGGGAGTTAGTTGACATGCCGATACAAATTAATGGTACTTAGTTGACATTCAGTTGCAAATTAACGGGAGTTAGTTGACATGTAGTTGCAAAATAATGTGAGTTAGTTGACATGTGGTTGCAAAATAATGTGAGTTAATCGACATGTAGTTGCAAATTAATGAGTTAGTTGACGTAGTTTCAAATTAATGGGAGTTAGTTGACATGTCGTTGCAAATTAATGGGACTTAGTTGACATGTAGTTGCAAATTAACGCAAGTTATTCGACTTGCAGTTGCAAATTAACACGAGTAAATTGACATGTAGTTGCAAATTAACGCAAATTAGTCGATATTCAGTTGCAAATTAACGCAAGTTAGTCGACATTCAGTTGCAAATTAACGCAAGTTAGTCGACATTCAGTTGCAAATTAACACAAGTAAATTGCCATGTACTTGCAAAATAATGTGAGTTAGTCGACATGTAGTTGCAAATTAACAGGAGTTAGTTGACAGTTTCAAATTAATGGGAGTTAGTTGAAATGCCGTTGCAAATTAATGGGACTTAGTTGACATGTAGTTGCAAATTAATGTGAGTTAGTTGACATGTAGTTGCAAATTAATGGAAGTTATTCGACTTGCAGTTGCAAATTAACATGAGTAAGTTGACATGTAGTTGCAAGTTAATGGGAGTTAGTTGACATGTAGTTGCAAAATAATGTGAGTTAGTTGACATGTAGTTGCAAATTAATGGAAGTTATTCGACTTGCAGTTGCAAATTAACATGAGTAAGTTGACATGTAGTTGCAAGTTAATGGGAGTTAGTTGACATGTAGTTGCAAAATAATGTGAGTTAGTTGACATGTAGTTGCAAATTAATGGGAAGTTAGTTTACATGTAGTTGCAAATTAATGGAAGTTAGTTGACATGTAGTTGCAAATTAATGGAAGTGTGTTGACGTAGTTGCAAAATAATGTGTTAGTTGATGTTGTTGCAAATTAACAGGAGTTAGTTGACAGTTTCAAATTAATGGGAGTTAGTTGACATGCCGTTGCAAATTAATGGGACTTAGTTGACATGTAGTTGCAAATTAATGTGAGTTAGTTGACATGTAGTTGCAAATTAATGGGAAGTTAGTTTACATGTAGTTGCAAATTAATGGAAGGTAGTTGACATGTAGTTGCAAATTAATGGGAAGTTAGTTTACATGTAGTTGCAAATTAATGGGAAGTTAGTTTACATGTAGTTGCAAATTAATGGGAAGTTAGTTTACATGTAGTTGCAAATTAATGGGAAGTTAGTTTACATGTAGTTGCAAATTAATGGGAAGTTAGTTTACATGTAGTTGCAAATTAATGGGAAGTTAGTTTACATGTAGTTGCAAATTAATGGGAAGTTAGTTTACATGTAGTTGCAAATTAATGGGAAGTTAGTTTACATGTAGTTGCAAATTAATGGGAAGTTAGTTTACATGTAGTTGCAAATTAATGGGAAGTTAGTTTACATGTAGTTGCAAATTAATGGGAAGTTAGTTTACATGTAGTTGCAAATTAATGGGAAGTTAGTTTACATGTAGTTGCAAATTAATGGGAAGTTAGTTTACATGTAGTTGCAAATTAATGGGAAGTTAGTTTACATGTAGTTGCAAATTAATGGGAAGTTAGTTTACATGTAGTTGCAAATTAATGGGAAGTTAGTTTACATGTAGTTGCAAATTAATGGGAAGTTAGTTTACATGTAGTTGCAAATTAATGGGAAGTTAGTTTACATGTAGTTGCAAATTAATGGGAAGTTAGTTTACATGTAGTTGCAAATTAATGGGAAGTTAGTTTACATGTAGTTGCAAATTAATGGGAAGTTAGTTTACATGTAGTTGCAAATTAATGGGAAGTTAGTTTACATGTAGTTGCAAATTAATGGGAAGTTAGTTTACATGTAGTTGCAAATTAATGGGAAGTTAGTTTACATGTAGTTGCAAATTAATGGGAAGTTAGTTTACATGTAGTTGCAAATTAATGGGAAGTTAGTTTACATGTAGTTGCAAATTAATGGGAAGTTAGTTTACATGTAGTTGCAAATTAATGGGAAGTTAGTTTACATGTAGTTGCAAATTAATGGGAAGTTAGTTTACATGTAGTTGCAAATTAATGGGAAGTTAGTTTACATGTAGTTGCAAATTAATGGGAAGTTAGTTTACATGTAGTTGCAAATTAATGGGAAGTTAGTTTACATGTAGTTGCAAATTAATGGGAAGTTAGTTTACATGTAGTTGCAAATTAATGGGAAGTTAGTTTACATGTAGTTGCAAATTAATGGGAAGTTAGTTTACATGTAGTTGCAAATTAATGGGAAGTTAGTTTACATGTAGTTGCAAATTAATGGGAAGTTAGTTTACATGTAGTTGCAAATTAATGGGAAGTTAGTTTACATGTAGTTGCAAATTAATGGGAAGTTAGTTTACATGTAGTTGCAAATTAATGGGAAGTTAGTTTACATGTAGTTGCAAATTAATGGGAAGTTAGTTTACATGTAGTTGCAAATTAATGGGAAGTTAGTTTACATGTAGTTGCAAATTAATGGGAAGTTAGTTTACATGTAGTTGCAAATTAATGGGAAGTTAGTTTACATGTAGTTGCAAATTAATGGGAAGTTAGTTTACATGTAGTTGCAAATTAATGGGAAGTTAGTTTACATGTAGTTGCAAATTAATGGGAAGTTAGTTTACATGTAGTTGCAAATTAATGGGAAGTTAGTTTACATGTAGTTGCAAATTAATGGGAAGTTAGTTTACATGTAGTTGCAAATTAATGGGAAGTTAGTTTACATGTAGTTGCAAATTAATGGGAAGTTAGTTTACATGTAGTTGCAAATTAATGGGAAGTTAGTTTACATGTAGTTGCAAATTAATGGGAAGTTAGTTTACATGTAGTTGCAAATTAATGGGAAGTTAGTTTACATGTAGTTGCAAATTAATGGGAAGTTAGTTTACATGTAGTTGCAAATTAATGGGAAGTTAGTTTACATGTAGTTGCAAATTAATGGGAAGTTAGTTTACATGTAGTTGCAAATTAATGGGAAGTTAGTTTACATGTAGTTGCAAATTAATGGGAAGTTAGTTTACATGTAGTTGCAAATTAATGGGAAGTTAGTTTACATGTAGTTGCAAATTAATGGGAAGTTAGTTTACATGTAGTTGCAAATTAATGGGAAGTTAGTTTACATGTAGTTGCAAATTAATGGGAAGTTAGTTTACATGTAGTTGCAAATTAATGGGAAGTTAGTTTACATGTAGTTGCAAATTAATGGGAAGTTAGTTTACATGTAGTTGCAAATTAATGGGAAGTTAGTTTACATGTAGTTGCAAATTAATGGGAAGTTAGTTTACATGTAGTTGCAAATTAATGGGAAGTTAGTTTACATGTAGTTGCAAATTAATGGGAAGTTAGTTTACATGTAGTTGCAAATTAATGGGAAGTTAGTTTACATGTAGTTGCAAATTAATGGGAAGTTAGTTTACATGTAGTTGCAAATTAATGGGAAGTTAGTTTACATGTAGTTGCAAATTAATGGGAAGTTAGTTTACATGTAGTTGCAAATTAATGGGAAGTTAGTTTACATGTAGTTGCAAATTAATGGGAAGTTAGTTTACATGTAGTTGCAAATTAATGGGAAGTTAGTTTACATGTAGTTGCAAATTAATGGGAAGTTAGTTTACATGTAGTTGCAAATTAATGGGAAGTTAGTTTACATGTAGTTGCAAATTAATGGGAAGTTAGTTTACATGTAGTTGCAAATTAATGGGAAGTTAGTTTACATGTAGTTGCAAATTAATGGAAGTTAGTTGACATGTAGTTGCAAATTAATGGAAGTTATTCGACTTGCAGTTGCAAATTAACACGAGTAAGTTGACATGTAGTTGCAAGTTAATGGGAGTTAGTTGACATGTAGTTGCACAATAATGTGAGTTAGTTGACATGTAGTTGCAAAATAATGTGAGTTAGTTGACATGTAGTTGCAAATTAATGGGAAGTTAGTTTACATGTAGTTGCAAATTAATGGAAGTTAGTTGACATGTAGTTGCAAATTAATGGAAGTTTGTTGACGTAGTTGCAAAATAATGTGTTAGTTGATGTTGCTGCAAATTAATAGGAGTTAGTTGACATGTAGTTGCAAATTAATGGAAGTTAGTTGACATGTAGTTGCGAATTAATGGGAGTTAGTTGACATGTAGATGCAAATTAACATGAGTTAGTTGACAAGTAGTTGTAAAGTTACTTATAGCTACTAGAATGTCTAAAGAGGCCTACTGAAATAAAGTGAAACCGATAATGTTAATGTTATACTCACTTTGCGTGTGTGTTCATATGTGTACAGGACCCAATGGACCCACTCAAGACGGTGATTGTGATTAGGTCGTTAGTTCCCGATGGCATAGCGGAGCGAGATGGACGCTTGTTGCCAGGAGACCGTCTCATGTATGTCAACAACATCAACCTGGAGAGCGCCAGTTTGGAAGAAGCAGTGCAGGCTCTTAAGGGAGCAAACATGGGAGCCGTAAACATCGGGGTGGCCAAACCACTGCCTGTAAGAAATACTATCCTCTACTTTCTAAAGCAGCTTTTTTCTCTGTACGATTTTGTGTTATTGAAACCCGTGGCTGCAGTAACGGGATTCCTTTCACAGGTTCTTTGAATATTTCATGATGTGGGTCTGTAGACCTTTAAGGCCTCAGGGAATGAAATCTTCTTGGAGGAGCGTGTCTGTATCTTTGTGAAGAGCTCTCAGAGGCTGTAGATTATCTTAACCTCTTCAGCTTTCCAAGGCTGTTATCTCGGATCCATTATTCTGGGATTGTGTGCACATTTTGGCATCTTTCCCTCTTTTTCTCCTCCGAGGCCTTGAGGTTTGGAGCGTGTGTGGTGGGTTGTCAAGTGCACTGTGGGTCATCTGATCAGGCCTTTTTTGTCTGAAGATTTAATCTCACGAGAGGCTTTTAGACTGCATGAGCGTGCCGAATGCTTTTGTTCTGCTCTCTCAAGTGTGATAGGGTAACATCACCTCTTAATATGGTTCAAATGACTCACTTCCAAGAAGCGGAGTGAAAACGGAGAAAGCATTTCTTCCTATTTACCTTTGCACGTCAAATCTTCCATGTGATCATCAATTTTAATGGTGCCGAAATCTACAAACAAACGATTCAGCTCGCTAACCAGCCTTGCACTACTAACATGCAAAGTGATTTCTAACCAAATCAAATCTTTTATTGTGATCTTGGGCTGAGTGTTATGATGAAATTAGATTCTGCTGTAGCACAGTAAATATATATCTGCACGGCATCAGTATGCAGGACTGCTTTACATTATTGCATAAAGCATCATAATAACAAAGAACAATGTGAAAATGCAGAGTATGCTTAAATGTTTATACATTTCAACAAACTGAATAACGAGTGATTCCAACAAATTTAAATCAATGCATACAGTATGTATTACTTTAAATTTAACAAAGAAAATGCAATTAAAGGAATAATTCACCCAAAAATTTTAACTCCCCCCAATATTTACTGGTGCTGGCATTTATTTATTAAATTAATTAATTAATTAATTAATTTTTGTGGAACTCAAAAAAACAAATGAATTAAAGGATATTTACATAGCTGTTTAACATAAAATGATCCCCCCCCCCCCCAAAAAAGTCAAAATTTTAAAATATTATTTTTTTTAAATAAGTCTTATATCCTCACCAAAGAACCTAATTTATCCTAATTTAATTCTTCATTTATTTGATTAATGATACAGTGAAACAGTAATATTGTGAAATATGATTACAATTTAAAGTAACTGTTTTCTATGTGAATATATGTTCAAATATAATTTATTGCTGTTCTCAAAGCTGTATTTTCAGCATCATTACTCCAGTCTTCAGTGTCACATGATCTTCAGAAATCAGTATAATATGCTGATTTGCTGCTCAAGAAACATTTCTGTTTATTATCAATGTTGAAAACAGTTGTGCTGCCAAATTTTTGTGGAAACTGATATAATTTAATTTTCAGGATACTTTGATGGATAGAAAGTTCAAAAGAACGTATTTTTTTGTGAAATTGAAATATTTTGTAACATTATAAATATGTTTACTATTACTTATGATCAATTTAATGCAATAAAAGTATTATTTTCCTTAAAATCATCTTACATCTTATAAGCATATAAGAATATATAAATTTACCATGCTATACAGTTACTCATTCTGGTTGTAATGCCCAAGCTTAGTGTGATCTGCTCATCACCAGAGAATGAATGGTCATCCTGTCTTCACAGACTGAGGATGAGGATGGCTCTTCCTCCTTCATCTTCTCGGCTCTGCTGCTGACGGAGGGCTGTGATGGTGATGAGGAGGATGAAGCTGTGTTCCGCGCTGAACCTGCAGTGGTCAGTGCTCCTAAAACACAACCAAAGCATTCCTGTGCGAAGCCTGTTAGTAGTGCAATGTTCTGTAGGAGCAACGATATATCAGCGTTTATAGGAGACAGATACTGTTTTTTGGATGAAAAAATTCACATTTTAGTCCAAGCTTAGCAAGACACACATGGCATCATTGAAAAAAGTAAAAAAATCCCTGATGATTTTTTGAGGGTTATCCTAACAAACTATTTGAAGTGCAGCACATTTATTGTGGCCTTTAGAAAAAACGATCATTCTCTGATGTTATTATCGTTCTCATCTACATAACATCTCTTCCAGATCGACTCTAGTGATTTAGACCTGTCTGATGAAAAGGCTTTTGAGCGTCATTTTCTGGAGGAGGAGGACGAGATGCTGCAGTCGATGATCGCTGAGCATGGCAGTATCTGCAGCGCTGATCTGACCTATCAGATGAACAGACCCGCCTCCACACCGAAGGTAAACAGAGTCGGCAACTAACTGCTTATTTCGTAAACTTAGACTGGTTTAGTCACCTTTGGGATTGTTTTATCAATTCTTTGTATACTGTAGGTTATGTAGGCAGTGTTCCTGTGGCTCAGTGGTAGAGCATTGCGTTAGCAGTGCAAAAGGTTGTGGGTTCAATTCCCAGGAAACACACATACTGGTAAAAATTGTATAGCCTAAACTTAAACGTAAACTTGTATACTGTAGGTTATGTAGGCAGTGTTCCTGTGGCTCAGTGGTAGAGCATTGCGTTAGCAGTGCAAAAGGTTGTGGGTTCAATTCCCAGGAAACACACATACTGGTAAAAATTGTATAGCCAGTCAGTTGCTCTGGATAAAAGCGTTATATCTGGATAAAGTTATTATTATTAACTAAATACAGAGTTCTGGCATGAAACTCTAGATGGCGCAGTCCGATAGGTCTAACTTTGATAGGTCTAACTCAGCAGCACAGCTGATTGGTTCTCTCCTGTATCGGGAGCCAATGAGCTCGCTGCTCAACATTCAAATATATGACTAGTGTTTGCTGTAGCAGTTGCAGCCTGCTTCAGAAACCCTCCACCTTCCCCAGCTCCACCTGTATAGATCTGCTACGAGATGATCCATGTATGCTATATGGGAGTTATGTCATGTATGTTATATTTGCAGCAGCAATATTTCTTACATGCTCACAATCTGCTACGAGATGATCCATGTATGCTATATGGGAGTTATTTCATGTATGTTATATTTGCAGCAGCAATATTTCTTACATGCTCACAGCAGCATGTTGTGGATGTATTGGCAATAGCAAGTCTCGGTATTTGCTCTGCCGCAGCAGCAGCGTAGCAGATCTACAGGTAACTACTAGCACACTTGCTAATGTCTGGCACAGGAGAAAACAGTCTCAGCTCACCCTCCAGCAGCCAATCACAGCAAGCCATTAGTTGATGACAACTAGGATCAGCTGATCTTCATTAAGCTTTGCATGGAGTGGAGGGAAGAGAGAGAGCGAGAGAGAGAGAGAGAGAGAGAGAAAGAGAGAGAGACCACAATGCAAACTGTATCTACCCAGTCAGCAGCAAAATAAATAATAGTAATTACTCCTTGGGACATAAAAATATGTAATTTAATAATCACTTCTCTTGTCTTTGAAATATGGTTAAAGTACTGCTGAATGTACTGACAAGCATTTATGATTAACTAATATATACTTCAATGTTGTTTTTATTGAAACTTGCATGTCATAAATAAATAATACATTTGTAATTACACATTTGTATTGATGAAGTTGCAATTTATCCCATTTACAATCTATTAAATGTTGTAAATGTAAGATCAAATTACACACTAAAAGTTAAAATTATAATCAAGTGCTTTACATGTGCTTAAATAAGTGTACTTTAAAACACGACAAAACATTATTAAATCATAATGATTTAGAATGCACCTTTAAAAACTTTTAATTTGAAGGTCACTTTTTAAAAGTGTAGTTAAGTGTGTTAAAAACAGTCATGAAAGTGTCTCTCTTTAAGTCACTCAGTTGGTCTTTTATTTCATTATTATTATATTATCTGCAAGTATGTTTTTTTAATATTCTTTTAAGATTTGGAGAGAAAGAGAGAGAGAACAAACACCACAACACTGCCACAATGCAAACTGTATCTACCCAGTCAGCAGCAAAATAAATAATAGTAATTACTCCTTGGGACATAAAAATATGTAATTTAATAATCACTTCTCTTGTCTTTGAAATATGGTTAAAGTACTGCTGAAGGTACTGACAAGCATTTATGATTAACTAATATATACTTCAATGTTGTTTTTATTGAAACTTGCATGTCATAAATAAATAATACATTTGTAATTACACATTTGTATTGATGAAGTTGCAATTTATCCCATTTACAATCTATTAAATGTTGTAAATGTAAGATCAAATTACACACTAAATTGATGACAACTAGGATCAGCTGATCTTCATTAAGCTTTGCATGGAGTGGAGGGAAGAGAGAGAGCGAGAGAGAGAGAGAGAACAAACACCACAACACTGCCACAATGCAAACTGTATCTACCCAGTCAGCAGCAAAATAAATAATAGTAATTACTCCTTGGGACATAAAAATATGTAATTTAATAATCACTTCTCTTGTCTTTGAAATATGGTTAAAGTACTGCTGAATGTACTGACAAGCATTTATGATTAACTAATATATACTTCAATGTTGTTTTTATTGAAACTTGCATGTCATAAATAAATAATACATTTGTAATTACACATTTGTATTGATGAAGTTGCAATTTATCCCATTTACAATCTATTAAATGTTGTAAATGTAAGATCAAATTACACACTAAAAGTTAAAATTATAATCAAGTGCTTTACATGTGCTTAAATAAGTGTACTTTAAAACACGACAAAACATTATTAAATCATAATGATTTAGAATGCACCTTTAAAAACTTTTAATTTGAAGGTCACTTTTTAAAAGTGTAGTTAAGTGTGTTAAAAACAGTCATGAAAGTGTCTCTCTTTAAGTCACTCAGTTGGTCTTTTATTTCATTATTATTATATTATCTGCAAGTATGTTTTTTTAATATTCTTTTAAGATTTGAAGTACACTAAAAGTGCACATTCAATACAGTTAAGTACACTTCTTTTCCACTGTTGTTTCTGTTTTAGAAGTCTTGAGAATAAAAGAAAAAACATTTTTTGACATAAAATACAACTAATACTGTGACAGAGTTTTAATAAAGGAATAAAATAATGACAATGACCAAATACACTAAACTGAGTGTTATTTGGTGAGGCATAATGTTGAGGGAAAACAGTAAAAAAAACTGATCTTAAATTTTTTTTTTTTTTATTTCCTAAATAAACGTCTGATGCATGTCATTTGCTGAACTGCCACATTCACTCCCACTGCTCAAGACCAGCGTGCCATGGGCCAGCCGCTCTCTATGCTGTAATTTGCCACTATATTGTTTGGAGTCCCATCAGTTGTGCATTTATTTGCATTTTTATGGCTGCTGCTCTGGGAGGCCCTGCTCAGATTCATAGCCGAGTGATTCGGTCCCTCTTGAATCATTCTGCACGAACAAACTCAATTACAGCTGTATGAATCACGGCTACATTCAGAAACACGCTCCCCTGTCTCTCGCCAGAAATTGCTCTCTCCCATTATTGCACTCCTGCAGGTCATTAACGGTGCTGTTTATCAGGAGATCATCTGCATCTGATTTGACTCTTATTGTGGATATAAATCAGCGGATAAGCTGTGAAAGGGAAACTGTGTATGTCTGTCTTACCCGCTGGAGTTTTACTTGAACATTATCTTTCATGTATTATCTCTTCATGGACACTAAACCGAAATCACAGCATGTTTTGTGTGATTATCAAATCACCAAGGCTGCGATTTAATTAAATAAATACATGCACTGCATGTTTTTCTCGTGAGTCGCAGCACTGTGTTCATTTACACGTGAGCAGCTCATGATCCGTGTTTTCAGTGTCTCAAAGCGGCTCGGTTCACTTTAAATACTGCTCAATGAACTCCATTTTGCATGTTCTGTGAGTTTGGGTCAATTAAAATGTGAATTTAGGAACGCAAAACATGCCAACCATCTTCTTACACATGTAATGAGAAGCACTTATAAACCAGCTGCTTTAAGAGAGAGAAGCTTCAAAGGCTTTTAAAACTTGATGGTTTAACTTTTAAGCCAGCTAAATATTGGAATCGTAGTTTATAGTTGTACTTAAAAAAATAGATATTAATATAATATCTATAATACTTTAATACTATAATACAATTATTTTTATTAGTAGTATTAAACACTTGACTTATGTTATAGTAAAATATTACAATAGCTTTTTTTTCAACTTTGTTTAAAAAAAAAATAATAATTTTCTTAAATACTTGATTTTTTTATTTTACAGTTAAATATTACAATAATGGTGTTTCTTATATTGTTTAATATTTTTAGGAATAATAATAATAAATATAATCATCATCATAATTATTAAATATTCAGCTTTCATTTTTCAGTAAATTATTACAATGGCAATATTTACCATTTTGTTATCAAATATTATTATGTATGGTGATAATAATAATAGTAGTAATAATATTAATAACAACAATGATAATTTTCTTTATTTTTATTTCACAGTGTATTTATTATTATTATTATTATTAAATACTTGTTTTTAATTTTACAATGAAATTATGCAATTGCAATATTTCTCATTTTAATATTTTTAGTAATAATAATAACATTTTAAATTGTATCACCACAATTGCAATTATGCCTACTACTGGCATCAAACTGTTGAACCACCTCAAAATGCCTTGGTAATAGTAAACAGGGGAAAGTCATCAGACCAGCTCTGACACTGTGGTGGTGAGTTTTTTACAGTCAAGCATCACTCAGATATTATGGCTAATTTCCCATAGTATTGCTAGTCTGTTCCCATCCTTCCTGCTTCCCGATTCGACCCTCACAATCCCGCCTCATCCTGCTGACCTCTATCATCACTCTGTATCCTTGACTTCAGACTTTCATGTCGTTTTTGATGAAGATTCTGGACTTTTCTCCTCTCAGGAGGAGGATTTGCTTCCAGATGAGCCCGCAGACGAGGCCCAGCAGCTAAACGCCGCGGCGGGGAGCAGCTTCGAGAGGACCATCACTGTGGTCAAGGGCAACTCCAGTCTAGGTATGAGAACGGCATTGTGTTCATGAAACAGAAGTACACTTTAGCATGCTTTTAAAAAGAGTACTTACTGAAATAATATACTTTAAAAGAACTTACTTGAAGCTGCATTATGTAACTTTTTTTGGCTAAAAATTATCCAAAATCAATTACTGAGCAAGTATATAACCAAACAGTGTTCAAAACTGTCTCCTTAACTTAGCCCATGTTTTATAATTTGAGTGCTTCAGGTCGTTCGCTTTGCGTCATTACGTCACGTCTGTATACATAAAGAAGTAGTACCGGTCGCGTGTGTGGATGCTGCAGCTGGTGGATCATTTGAGCCTCTTCTTACAGCAGCTGGAATAATTAAACTTGTCATTTTGAGAATAGAGTCTTAAATGGTGCATGATGGTATTGAAACACATTATATTCCAATTTTAAATGTGCATCTGAATGATCTGATTACAGATACGTGGGATTACACTGTACTTATAAAAGATTTGTATTTCAAGTGTCTAAGTAAATGTCTTTTTGAGGTTAAAAGAACAATTTATTTCGATAACATTCAAATGGTATGACAATTAGAGAATAATAATAATTTGCACAGTTTGACGTGATCTGAGCTTACTTTGTGATCGTTAGATTTAATCACCACTGTTAGCGTGATTTATTGTAAAACTTTTTTTTTTTCAGTTGGTCAGAACAAAACTGGCAGACATGTTACTTACTTATTAAGAAGACATTTTCCAGTGAAACTTCCACACATACAGCTCAAAACATTAGATTAATCCGCGCTGAGGAGCCGTGCCGATGCACAACCCATGTAAAGAAAATAATTCCACAAATAACTGCAATTGCAGGTTTCAAACAGAGATGGTGACAAAGAGGCAAAACTTACGCACTGCAGCTTTAAGTGTGAACTGAATGTACTTGGACACCTAATTGCATGTTAATTGAAATTAAATGAAAATATAATAGAAATATACAGTATAATACTATAGAAAATATAATACTATTATATATATACTATATATGGTAGTATAGAAAAGGTATATAAATATAGTTTAAATTTATATTAAATGCACTTAAGAACCCACTTAAGTAGGACTTAAGTAGTCTTTATATGTACATTTTAGGGCTGTCAAAAATAACTCATCAATCTCTGTGATTTTTATTTTCTGTTTAGCACGTAATATAATGGGTGTATGTGAAGATTGCTTTAAGCTCACTTAAATTAAAAGTCATAATATTTTTTAATGTTTTTAAAACAGTTTAGGCCTATAAAAAATAATCGATTTAAGAGGTATCTGTGATTTTTGCCTCCATTTATAATACTTATTAAAAAGATTAAAATTTACCGTCTTTATGCTTGTTTCTACATTAATTTTGCGATTCCATTTGAAAATGTTTATGATTGCAAATTTTAATGTTAGATGCAATTAATCATGCTTAATTAGAGAAAAATGTGCGATTAATTAGTACAATTTTTTATCAGTTGACAGCACAAGTAATTTCATAATTAATTGGTTAAAGTGCACTGAATTTACTGACAAGCATGTATTTATTAAAATATACTTTAATGTCATTTCCATAAAAAAAAATATTAAACCATAATGAATTTAAATGCACTTTAAAATACAACTTGAACATTATACTTAATTATAATACTTAAGCATTGTACTTAAGTGTGTTCAGAAATGGTCATAAAAGTGTCTCTCTTTTAAGTCACTTAAGTGGCCTTTTATGTCATTAATATTATATTTTCTGCAACTGTAGTTTTGTGCAATGGTAAATGTGACCTCACTTAAAAACAGGAAAATATGAAGGGAATATTTCTTGCTGTATACGTGCAGCAAGTGATGTGATGAGAAGTTTTCCCCAGCCGCTGATTTCACTAATGATTAAGATGTGGGTTTGGCCGTGGGATCGTGCAGCAGCAGTTTGGCCCGCCTGTATCCCAGAGCAGCAATTGAACGCAGTCTGCTTTGCCAATATACGCTATTAGGATATTAAAATTTCAGCTGAGGGAAATCTAGCATTCATTTGAGGCTGCTTTACATCGCTTTAGATCTGGACTTGGCTTGACTTTCACAGGTGTTAATGGACTCCCATTCTTGATCTAGAAGATTGCAATTAAAGTACATTTAAATTCCTGGCAGATTATTTTTTACAACGCTGACATAACATCCACTACTAAGTGCTCCTCATGGAAAACCAAGATCAGTGTGAAGTCAATGTGCAGAGGTTCATAATTCCTTCTATAATGTCTGTGTCTGCATTGTACTTTATTTATATTTAGTGATACTTTTCATTTTTTAGCATGAATTACCTGTAATCATGTTCTCATGCACACAGCACAACAGAATATATATTAGTAATCAATGTTTGAAATGCCACCTATAGATTTTTGTATTTAATTTAATAAAAAAAATAATAATTTAAATATAAAATAAATGTTAAAAAAATATTGCACATATCAGGGAATAAATATGCATCATAGGTTAAAATGTAATGACATAAATCATCTGTGGTGTTTTTGTTTACCAAAACCAATAAAACATGTTTTTGTTAACTGGAGAAAAAAAAGCTGAAATAAAATTATATACATTTTATATGAAAAACTTAAACTTAAAAAACTCAAATGAAAATTAGAAATGTCACTTTGGCATCTAACTGAAATAAAATAAGTTTGAATACTAAAATTACTAAAACACAAATAAATAAATTAAAGCTTAATAAAAAAAAGCAAAATAAAAATGACAAAAGCATATAAAAAAAATTCACAAAAACTAAAATTAAAATGAAAAATTCCAGTAGAATACATGGCCAATTCAGTTCACCCTTCTTTGTTTGTAAGGACAGAATGTGATTTTTTTACCACGTCACATGAAAAGTTGCGTCTTTATTTTCAATAATCGATAGGATCAGATCATATTTACACAATGTCCAATAAGAAATTTCAGTACCTCTCAAACATATACAGAGTTCTGGCATGAAACTCTAGATGGCGCAGTCCGATAGGTCTAACTCAATCTGACCTAATGACGTCATTATCACATGGCACAGCTGATTGGTTCTCTCCTGTATCGGGAGCCAATGAGCACGCTGCCCAACATTCAAATATATGACTAGTGTTTGCTGTAGCAGTTGCAGCTTGCTTCAGAAACCCTCCACCTTCCCCAGCTCCACCTGTATAGATCTGCTACGAGGTGATTCATGTATGCTATGGGGTTAATTCATGTATGTTATATTTGCAGCATTTAGAGTCAACCTTGAATGCATTTTAGAATTTTTATCTAAAGCAAACATTAAAAACCTTATATAGCTTTTTAAATGCAAATTTCAACTTGTTCCTCTCCATGAAAATAGCCAAGGAAGCTGGCATGGCATTAAAACAGCAGCCATCATTTTCCATGGCGTGTGTTGCAGGCATGACAGTGTGCGCGCTGAAGGACGGGCCCGGGATGCTGATCCGCAGCATCATTCACGGCGGCTCCATCAGCAGAGACGGCCGGCTCGGGGTCGGGGACCTGATTCTGGCCATCAACGGAGAACCGACAGGAAACCTGACCAACGCTCAGGCGCGAGCCGTGCTGCGCAAACACTCTCTGATCAGACCAGACCTGGGGTGAGACGCTCATTTACACACACACACACACACACACACACACACATTCACATACATACTTACACATACATACAAACACACACACACACACGCACACACACACACACACACATACACACACACACACACACACACACACACACTCATGCACACACACACACACACACACACACACACTCACATACATACCTACACATACATACATACACACACACACACACACACACACACACACATTCACATACATACTTACACATACATACATACACACACACACACACGCACACACACACATACACTCATGCACACACACACACACACACACACACTCACATACATACCTACACATACATACATACACACACACACACACACACACACACACACATTCACATACATACCTACACATACATACATACACACACACACACACACACACACACACGAGATTCAGCTGAGCTTCTGTTCAACTTCTCAGGTACAAATCAGACACTCGATTATTGAGAGGTGGATAATTATAGACACTCTCAGAAAGGTTTGTGTTCCATTGTTTTATATTATTTATATTAAACACAGAGCGTTTCATTTGGCTTTTTCAAAAAACTATTCAGTAAGGCCCCATTAGTTAACATTAGTTTACTGCATAAACTAACAATGAGCAATACATGTGTTACAGTATTTATTCGTCTTTGTTAACATTAGTTTATAAAACTACAACTGTTCAGTGTTTATTTCAGCTCAGGTTTATTCAATAATATTAACAGATACAGCTTTGGATTTCAATAATGTTTTAATAATTGTTCAAATTAATTTAAGCTAAGATTAAGAAATGATTTAGTAGCGTTTTTCATTGTTAGTCATGTTAACTAACGTAGTTAACTAATGTTAACAAATGGAGGCTTATTGTAAAGTTTCTAATCATTAAATTAAAAAATCAAATACATTACATTATATGCTGATTAATAATTAAATAAATCACATTTATCAATATTTGCTGAGGGACGTAACCAAATGAATATACATACAGGGCTGTCAATTCATTAACAATTCTGGTGGAATTAATTGCATAGTGTGCTTATTAATTAATCATAAAAAAAATTATAATATACATAAGTGTTTGTTTGCTGCATCCACTACACTGTTCAAAAGTCTGAGGTCAGTAAGATTGTTTTAAAGAAATTAATACTTTTATGCATCGATGATGCATTAAACTGATCAAAAGTGAAAGTAAAGACATTTATATTGTTACAAAAAGATTTCTGTTTTAAATAAGCGTTGTTCTTTTGAACTTTCAATTCATCTGTGAATCCTGAAAAATAAAATGTATCACGGTTTCCACAACAATATCGGGCAGAACAACTGATTTCAACATTGATAATAATCAGAAATGTTTCTTGAGCAGCAAATCAGCATATTATACTGATTTCTGAAGATCATGTGACACTGAAGACTGGAGTAATGATGCTGAAAATACAGCTTTGATCACAGGAATAAATTACATTTTACAACATAGTCACACAGAAAACTGCTATTTTAAATTGTTTTAATATTTTTAAATTTTACTATATTATTGATTAAATGCATAAAGCCTTGGTGAGCAATAGAGACTCCTTTCAAGAACATAAAACAATCGTACCGACCCCAGACTTTCCACATAGACATACAGTATTTGGATGTTACGGTGCATCTAGTTTGTCAAACTGCTTACTTGTTGGTGGTACTTCAAGCTTGAGTCTGTTGAGAAATCTGTTCAAATGGAGATGATGTACAGTCAGGGTGTATTTTAAGGCCAATTTAATAGAGCCATCAACCTCGGCAGAACTCACGATTTACATTCACAATAAAAGGTTAAACAGACATTCATAAAACAAGGCTTATCAATGCCCAGCTGTGATTGAGAAGCCGTCTGGCAGCAGAGAGCTTGTTCTAGCTGCAGTAAGTCACTTTATTCTGCCTCCCGCTGCCAGCGGCGTCTGTCCGTAAACTGCTCTTCACGTTTCCAGATCCACAGGTGCTGCGGGGGAAGAGCTGAGCCCCGTCTCTGTGTGAGTACTGCCTTCATCACACTGTCTGTCCTCACTCCCTGCTTGCGTTTGTTTTGAGCTGTCGCTGCAGAGCTTTCTCCAAAAAATCTGATTGTTGGGGCGGCCCGCAGCCCTGCTTCCATTGTCTTGTAATCGCACACAAGCTCAAAGACTGGAAGCAGTTCTGGCATCATTTACTCTCCCTCATGTCATTCCAAACCTTTCTTTCTTCCGCTGAATCTAAATCTCCATTACTGGCTCGTTTCTGTTATGCAGTACCTTTTTGTGATTATTTTATATTTTATTCTATTTATTTGAGCGAGATGCTAACGGTCTAATCAGATTCAATGATCTATGCTAAGCTACAGCTAAAAGTGCTACCGCCAGACCCGGAGATCGGCTGAATGGATTCGAAAACAGTAAAACTCAACTGTTTAACTCTAGGGGAGTTAGAAAATGAGCCTATTTTCAAAAAATAGTGGAGTGTTCCTTTAAAGCTGAAGTGTGTGAGGTCTACACCACAGAATTGCAAAAATAATGATTGTTGGCAGAGTGATTACACTTTTCGAGAACGTCAACCAACAAATTAAGCTGGGATAGGAGAGTGCTTCAGTTTTAATTGTGGTATTTTAAGGCAAATTTGAATTGTACTGCATAGTGGGTCTGACCCGACTAATGTCTAACACTCACATTCCAGTCAAACTCAACCGTGCTGCATTTCCTCATCAAGCAGCGTTTGAGCAGGTTGTTGTTTCCTTGGTAACATGCATCTGTGTTCTCAAGAGGCTGTCGTTCATCATTAACATTCCAGGCCGTCGTTTCCTCCTAACATCGTGTATTGTGTTGTTCATCTTTGACTAACATCTTTCTCTCTCATGTAAGTGATTTGATTTCCAGCCATCGATTGTCGTTCATTAATGAAGCGTTTTCACTGAATGTGTGGATAATGAATATTTGATTCACATCGATGTGCCGTGACTCCTAATGTCTTGATATCTCCGCCTGCATGCATGAATTGTTCAAAACAAGTTTGATTTTTCTCAATTAGATCTGTCATCTTCACTTACAGTCAACTGATGAAGCAAACAAACTATTTCTGTTTAGACTCCTGATCCGGAAACATGAAAATTCAAGCTAAATTGTCAGGCTCGCTATTGAGTCAGACGTTTTTGGTTTGAATTTTTTTGGATGTAATGCAAAGGAAAGAGAAAAATGTCTTGTTGTGGGACATTCATTTACTAACCCATAAAACACCGGGTGCTTTGATTTCACCTTGGACAGAGATAGGCAGAATATATCACATATTACCCATAGTGCTGAAAAAAACAAGATGTGCTTCAATGCAAGTTATGCTCAGTTATATGCATTTATTGCATAATGTTGATTGACTCCTTTTTGCATTTTTTAAAACTGAAGAACAAGTGGCCATTAAGTCACAAATGCTGTTGATTGAGTTTAAGTTGGGAGATTCCTTTGGAGTTTGATTCCGGCAGTGTTGATGACAGGTCTGATGAGTCAAATGTCATCATAGCTTATGAATCTTATGATTATGTGTGTGCAGAATCACGTATGTTCCTGCAGAATATTTAGAGGAATACAGGGCGAGCCAGCAGCTCCAGAGTGATGATCTCTCTGATGGCAAAAATAACACTCAACAGTACGTACTTCACTCACACTTCATCTTGTCAGCTCTCATTGACTCGTATAGCTGTAAAATGGAAAGAAAATGAGAGCTTTGTGTTTGTGTGTTTAGTCAGATGGCCTCAGATCTTCCAGAGAGAGAAGATGGAGAGGGACAGGAGAGTGAACGACAGACAGCAGCTTCCAACAGCTGGAATCTACCACGGAGGTGAGGACAGATCAATAAGTTGCATGTGATTGAAAAACATGAACATATCTATTAGGAGTGGATATGTATTAGAAACCCGTTTCTGTTGGTATTCTTATTATGGTTCCTTTGGGAGCATACGGCAGCCCTTAAAACCATTGGAGCAAAATTTGGTGCGTTCATTAGGGAAGGTATGAACATCAATCTGACCAATTTTAGGCTCTCTCACTCGAACCCTTTAGCAACACCGTAAGTTTAAAATTGGGCTTTTCATATAACTATGTGACCTATTTACAGTCTTCGGATTTTTGATGAAATATGCTGTATGCGATAAACAGTTTGGCATACTGAAAGAGACAAAAAATATATTGTATATATATATATATATATATATATATATTATATATATAATATTCTCCTATAATAATTGTCGGTTACACTTTATTTTAAGGTGTCCTTGTTGCTCTGTAATTATACATTTAAGTACTGAGTAATATTAATTAACTACATGTACTTACTATATGGTTAGGGTTAGGCTTATGGTTGCTTGCATGTAATTATGCATAATTAATTGTTATTATAATAGTAAGTACATGTAACATGTGTAACAAGGACACCTTAAAATAAAGTGTTACCTAATTGTCCTGTGTAGGGTCACATAAATTTTGCATTTGCCTGGAATGTGTTTCATGTATTGTGAATGTATTTTCTTGCTCCTTTAAGTACATTTTTAAATATATGTTGGTATTTGAAGGTTTAAACAAAATATATTTTGTTAAAAAATATTCAATCAAAAATATATGCTTCATTAACTTGCATGGTTTACAACTTACATTTAGCATATATTTGAGAAATATTTTGGCCAGAAAAAAAAATGTATTGATCATAATGTTGCAAATTGACGTTACTGGATGTTCTGTGTGTGTTTGCTCAGAGTGGAGTTGCACAGGGAAGCTGGGAAATCTCTGGGCATCAGCATTGTTGGTGGGCGGGGCATGGGCAGTCGCCTTAGCAACGGGGAAGTGATGCGGGGCATCTTTATTAAACACATCCTGGAGGACAGTCCAGCGGGACGCAACGGCACACTGAAAACAGGAGACAGGATTTTAGAGGTACACACACACACTTACTTAGCTATGTATTATAACAGAATGACATTAATACATTACAATAATCCAACTCTAATCTAAATTAAAATGCTAAAAAGCACAAAATCGGGATGTAAATAGAGGTCATATTTTTATTTTCTCTCAAAATTGTTTTTAATGAAGAACATACAGTTCTTGAAACATCTGGAGTTACAAAATGAATTGTAGTTAATTAATTTGCTATTTACATATTTCCAGTTATTGTTAATAAAATGAAAAGATTGAAAACAAGCAGCTCTGTCATACTTACAGCAGAAATGCTGGAAATACCTTAAGATATCTGACCCAGCTTTATACAAGCTCAGTGGACAAAAAAAAACGTCCTTGATGAAATCCAAAAATGTAACATTTTATTTATTATTTAAAAAAACATTTTTAATTACTTTTATTTACATTTGTTTTAAATTTACTTATAATTGTCAAATGTCTATGTCATTTTAATTATAAAAAAGTCACCTCTTCACCCAATATTTGCATGTACAGTGTATTTTAGTGCTTGTTGGAGTATCGCATTGTTAGTTTAGCAACATGTTAGCGTCAAACTCCATTGGACTCAATTGTGAATCAATTCATCTGTGTACTTCATGTGAAAAACGCAATTTGTGTGGAGCACAATGTAGAGCATTGCAAATCAGTGATTATGAGGTTGCATTTCAGTCCTTATATCATGGTACAGCAGTAAATATTATTTACAAAATATTTATTTTTGCACCAAATGTTGAATTCTATAAATTCAGGAAGTTGCAATGTTGCTCGCATTGTTGCGACACACTAAAATGAACTTTTACATTCATTGAAGATGTCTACACTGGAAGTGGCATGGCACAGTTTGCACAATTTTCTGCTTGCTGTCTGATTTTTTTAAAATCATAATATAAATAATATAGCAAATTCAGTTGATACATTTTTACTTTGGCATGTATACTGTCATACAGCCCAGCCTGTCTAGGTAAGCAGGGTGGCATATTTTTGGCAGGTTTTGGGCTACACACCTGCTTATAAAGTCGAGCTCTATGTGTGTGTGTGTGTGTGTGTGTGTGTGTGTGTGGGTGTGTGTGTGTGTGTGTGTGACAGGTGGGCGGAGTGGATCTGCGTGATGCCAGTCATGAGCAGGCGGTGGAGGCCATCCGTAACGCTGCAAACCCCGTGGTGTTCGTGGTGCAGAGCATCATTTACAGAGACCGAGTCAGTATCACACACACAATACAAACATCTGCTGAACTGATCAATTTATTTATGCTGGTTAACACGTGTGGGTGTTTATAACATATTTATAACAGCATACTAACTATGGCTGGGTGATATAGCTTTCATTGATCTTTATAAAACACACTCTTTTATCTAAAAGTTAGATGTTCATGTACTTTTTAATCAATTAAATTAAAACTGACTGTTTACATTCTGTTGACAATCTCAACATTTTTCAGCCTTTTAAGGATATTTGTTGCTTTATAGCTCAGTGTTTATATATTTGCTCTGCAGTGTTTTCATTTTTTTTTTAATCAGAGGAATCTCATTTTAATTGAACAGCCACTGTTGCAAAGTATATTCAAAGTGTTGCATGCAAGAAGTTAAACACAGTAAAGATCTAGTTAGAAATTATTTTCCACACAGTTTTTTTTGCTAAAGGAACACAAAGAATTGTATTTAATTATTTTCATTTAAATGCATATATAGTTTGAAGAATATATAGTTTGAAGAATATACTGCAATAAAATGAAAATAAATGATATTCAAATTTATATTAAATGCAATTAGCTGAACTTTAGAGTGTTTTAAGCCACTTAAGTAAGACTTAAGTACATCTTTATATATATTTAATTTCACAATTACTTCTTTTGTCTTTGAAATATGGCTAAAGTACTGCTGAATGTACTGACAAGCGTTTATGGTAAACTAAAATATACTTTAATATTGAAACTTGTATCTCATGTATTTAAATATATTTGTAATTACACATTTGTAATGATGAAATTGTGATTTCAATAGTCAACACATTAAAATAAATTTACTTCTTTTAAAACACGACAAAAGATGATTAAAACAATTATTACAAAGCTCACTTTTTAAAAGTGTACTTAAGTAAGTTCAGAAACAGTCATGAAAGTCTCTTTAAGTCACTTAAGTGGCCTTTTATTTCATTAATATATTATCTGCAAGTACAGTTTTTTTTATATATATATACTTTTAAAATTTGAAGTACACTACAAGTGCACATTCAATACAATTAAGCGCACTTAATTTTTAAAAGGGTAGTGGTAAACAGTGATATTTACCTACTTATATTTTTGCTAAATTATTTTCATACATTAAAAAATTGTCATGCATTGACTTCAGTAAAAGCACATTACTGAATACGTTTTGAATCGATTCCTTGAGTTTAGATGAATAGAAATGAATCAAGCTTACAAACTGTGACAAAGGTTTGGCTTCTGAAGCTTTAATCAGAAAGACTATTAAAGCTCTCTCTTAATGCTATACTCTTACTTTCTGAGAAACCTAATGACCAAATATGAAGCATATTAAAATCATCACAGTGTTACTTAATTTGATATTGTCAACAGAATCATCATGTATGGAAGGATATTCTGGACTAATTTCAAAAGGAATTGCAAATTGTATTTTCAATTGCGTTTTCCATAAATGGACGAATAAATTGTGACATAATCTTGCGTTTTCGCGAACACACAGTGACTGCCAAATTTCACATAGAAAAGCAAAGTCCACTTGCAACTGTATTTCCCATGTCTTATGAGTTATGAGCCTGTCATATTTAAAAAGCAATATTAATTACCACATTACCATATTCACCATTAACCAAACGTTTTCACCTGCCTCATCATCTCTCACTGTTTGCACTCCGATGGATGCATGATTGATGAGACAGGTGAAAAGCGTTTCATTAAACTGTGCGTTTGCGACAGTTGCAACGGTAGTGCAAGATTTGCAATTGCGTTTGCATTGTCACAAATTCTGCGTCCACATATGGAAAACACAACTGAAAATACAATTTGTAATTCCTTTTGAAAATAGGAATATCCTTCCATAACCATGAATATATCGTGCATCTTTAATATATCTCCCAGCACTAACTAACTAACTGCTTTTGTAACTGTTTAGTGCTCAGAAAGACAGGACTTGGCTGCTTTGCATCTGTCTCTCGCTCTGCACCTCATCTGTCTGTCTCTCTCTCTGTCTGTCTCTCAGCCTGACTCTCTGTATAGTTTTGATTCACCTCCTGTCATAGAGAAATACGGGACAGTTTTAAAATGCGTCCCTGTGCCAAAGTGTCAGGTAATTTCTGTTCGGCCCTCTTATCTCCGCTCCCAGCATCCCTCATTCAGCTCGGCTTAGCCTTAAGATTTGCCAGTAAGTCAACTTAAGCACATTTACGAACTCAATCAAATGTGATTAAATAAGTAACACTCCTGTTATGGCTCTCCAAAGTTAAACTGTTTTGCTGTTAATGTCCCGAACCACATCCTCCACTTAGTTTGATTTACCCGCAGGCCTCTTTTTAAAATAATGGCACTTCTAGTTTACATATGAGATGTTTTAATGACTCGTCTCACAGGAGGAAATGTGTTTAAGCTGATATACTAGCGCAGGGTGATTCTGGCTTGCTAACCTTCTGTGCTGTGCTTGTAGAAACCTCCCGAAGCCCTGCTACAGCTGAAGCACTCAGAGCAACCCCTCCATCCTTACCCCGAATCCTGCTTTACATACAAACCGCTACAGGTTAGACGGAGTCGCCTGTATGTGTGTGTGTGTGTGTGTGTGTGTGGTACATTCTAGAAAACTCATCCTTGTACCTCGAAGTTTTCCATGGTTATGTTTCATTTTGAAAGTTCTGTTGGTTTTAGTTTAAGTATACTGTATACTAGCAACGAAAATATATGACTTTTTGTCCAATAAAATGCTCTGTAGAATGAAAATGTCCCTTGTGAAAAAGAAGTGCACTTAATTGTATTGAATATGCACTTGTAGTGAACTTCAAATCTGTACTTGCAGATAATATAATATTAATTAACTAAAAGGCTACTTAAGTGACTTAAAGAGACACTTTCGCAATTGCTTCTTAACACACTTAAGTATGCTTTTAAAAAGTGCATTTGGTAATAATTTTAAATGAAGTTTTACTTTAAAGTACGTTTTGAAATCATTAAGTGTTATTAATCTTTTGTCCTGCTTCAACCGCTTAACTAAGGTTGGTCTCTTTTTAAAGAAGACAATCAGCAGATTATTGCTGAAGCATTTCAAAAAATTTAAATGTAAAAAAAGTTTAAGTTTACTGTACTAAAATGTACTGTACTGAAATGTTTTATTTTATTTAAAATAAATATTTTATAAAATATTTTGGAATCTAAAATTGCTGTAAACTCAAAGCCATTTGTCTAGTTAAGTTATGTTCCAAATTTGAAGTTGATATCACAAAAATTGAGGTTACTTAATTTTTTCAAGATTAGAAAAAGTTTTGATAAAATATTGTAGTATATTTAGTAATATGACACTTGACACCGCCCACTAGGGGGAGGAGGATGAATTGTGAGTGTTTAAGGTTTTAGTTACACTTTATTTTAAGGTGTCCTTGTTACAGTGTAATTACACAATTAAGTACTGAGTAATATTAATTAACTACATGTACTTACTATATGGTTAGGGTTAGGATTAGGGTTCGGCTTATGGTTACTAGCATGTAATTATGCATAATTGTTATTATAATAGTAAGTACATGTAACATGTAACAAGGACACCTTAAAATAAAGTGTTACCAAGCTTTCAAATGATATCCAATTTCATTGTAATTAACATGGAAAAGTGTCCGAAAGCATTCAATTCGCACTTAAGTATTTTATTTCCTTGATAAGTACTCTTTTAAAATAAGTATCCTAGTAGGGCTGCACAATTAATCAAATTACTAATCGCGATTACAATTATGGATGCCACAATTACATAATCGTTCAAAGCGGCAATTAATCGTTCTAAGTCCACTTATGTTATTTTGCACGCTTAAGATATGTTTTTTTCTTTCTACATGTTATCTTAAGGGTTTTTCCCATTATTTTAATTTTAGTTTTAGTATAACATTATAATACCATTCATATTTTTACTTTTTTATAATTTAAATCCGATGTATATTTGACATTTGAGGCTTAATACTATAGAAAAGCACTAAAAGTTTTTCAGTTAGTGTTTTCAGCTTGTTTATTTTCATATAAAAAGATGGCATGCAGTTGCATCAAACAATGGTATAAACAACATTCAACGTAAATTGTGATAATCGTAATTAATAATCGCAATTACAATTTCAAGGGAATAATCGAGAATTATGATTTTTGTCATAATCGTGCAGCCCTAATCCTAAAGTGTAAATCTTTTTGATGATCTGACTCAAAACAGCTCTGTTTTTAATCATGAAATCACACATCACGACTGTTTTTGCTGAAATCTCAACATGCAAAAAACCCCAAAACTACAGGATTGAATGTGTGGTAATAATGTTGAATCTCTGAAACATGTCTGATTTCTGACTGGCCGTTACATTTCTCAGCTGACCAAAGCCCTTGTATCAAGGCACCTGTAAAGTCGGGCTCTCTGCGGTCTGTCCTTCTCTTCATCAGACCAGATGTGCGCTAATGATCCGTGCCTCATTCCCGCCCAGCAGATGTCTCTCTGCAGATGGCTCTTAAAAGTAGCTTTGTTTCAATGGCACTGAACAACAAGTACAAACCCGAGGGGGGATCCGCGGCCATAAAGAAAGACTATCATTACTGTGCAGGACTTTAGTTCGGATCTTCTAGACCAACAGAGAGCTGGTCAATGACATTAGAGTTTAATGATGTTGTTGAAGTCATGTAGAGTGTTTTTTGTGGGACTGTGTTTGACGAGGACTGTTCTTGAATGTTTAATAGTGCCAGACATCTGCGCTGGATGCAGTGGAAGACATTTCAGCCTTCGATCTGAAGAGCAGCGGTGAGAAGGTGAGCCGACAGACGCCACTGAATCCGCTCTAGTGCTTCTTCATCACAGATATATGACTCTGGATTTTAAGTAGCTTTCTTGTTTTCTCACTCTCGGGTCATTCCTAAACCTGTATGATCGTCTTCAGTGAAACGGAATATTTTCAAGAATTAACGGAGTTCTTTTCATTACAACAAAGAGCTGTTAGAAAATCAAACCATTTCAAAACAACGGTTCAGAAAAGAAAAACTCTTTTGGAGCCAAGACAGCTTTGTCTGAGCAATGGAAACAATTCAATGATAAAAGTGTTATTTTGCTATTATTTACTGTATATATGCTATTATAAATTAGCTATAAATAAATGTTATATATATATATATATATATATACATAGTAAAGTTTTAGTAATTTTTTATGATTTTTTTTAATACTTATAACTAATTGTTTTTTTGTTTTTTTCAGTTTTAGTCATTTTTAGTACTTATTTTATTTCAGTCAGTTGGCAAGGCAACATTTCAATTTTTTTTTAACGTTTTTTAAGTTTACATCTAATCTTTATGTTTTTTAAATTCAGCATTACATCAATTAGCGAAGATTTTAATGAAACTGACTGACAATCTTTTCCTCCAGTGAGCTGAACTCTGATTTGTGAATTAATCTTTAAATCCAAATTAAGAACTAAAATAAAAAAAAGTATAATTTGTTTACTGAACTCCAGGATCTGTAAATCTAGCAAAAGCACAGAAGTGTTTCATTGATTGGTTGATTCATGCCTTTAAAAAATGTAAGATAATTTATATGACGTTTTATAGGGAAAGTGTGTATGGTTTGGAACATCTCGGAGGATGAGGAAATAATGTGAATGTTTATTTTGAACTTCCTCTCAGAAGCACAATGTTCACTAACAGTCTGTCAGTTTAAGTCCTGATTATTTCACAGGCATAATTGTGCAAGAAAGTGGAATATGAAGTTAATCCTAATCATGAAAAACCTGGAAATACTGGAGAGTTTTACAATTGTGATTTTCAGGCTTGGAGAAGTCATGGAAGTATCTGTATTATGATTTCTGTAGTTATGCATTTCAGAGCGAGTCTGTTGCATGTAAACGCCTTTGTGGCTAAAAACAGTTTCCTGTATGTTACGCTAAGGGAGTGGCCTTTTTGTTAACTAGGATAACCATGCTGTGATTTTATCCAGTATCTAATCACAAATGCCTGGAAATTAATAAGGCCTCAAAATGAATCATAATTAATAAAAACAAAAGGTGGAGTCATCGCTAGTGTCTCATACAGACCTCAAAAGGTCATGAACCTGGGAAACTTTGTTAAATTCCGAGACTGGATCTTCTTCAGATGTGCTCGTTATAGCAGTCCACTACATTGTAAACAAGACTTTGTTTGCTAGCAAAACCCTGGGCGCTCAGACTCTCAGAAGTTACGTTAAAGTCGGCCAATCTGATTAGCAATGCATATTTAAACCAACCGGTACGATTTTTGCATGCATTATGCTTCAGGCGCTGTGTGAACGGTCCCTAGCAGTGCCGTCTGAGACTCAGTGTTCAGAATAACATACTAACAACTACTGTTACAATGTCTGCAGCGGTTATTATCTACACTGTGCATAGTATGTGAATTTCTGTAAGCATATAATAGGATGACATGCCAGTGTTATTTTAGTATTATTAATATACTATTATAGTATTTAGTAATATTTAGATTTTTCTGAAAGTTTTTGTCATTTTGTAATTTTTATCAGTTTTTGTTTTTATTCAATATTTGGTTTTAGCTTTAATTTATATTTATTCCAGTTTTAGTTTGAGTAATTTTAGTTCTTCAAATTATTTTATTTTATGTATTTTACGTTAAGGTTTTCATCTAATGTTTTATTTTATTTCAACTTTATTTATATTTGTTATATTTATAATGCCTAAAATTTAATTAAAATTGAAAAATAACCTTTTAATTTCCAATCTGATGACAATATGCCACACACATGCAGTGTGATGAAACAGTGTTGCATATAATTGTTTTATTTCAAAACTATCAGGCGGTATAGTGTACACTACTTCATATTCAGTTACGTAGTTAGCTAGTATTCTATTCCATCAGTGACAGAAAGCGTGTGGGCTGTCAGAGGTCTGCAGTAGATCAGATGCCGTCACTTGCCAAGTTCTCAGCTGACTCAGGAACAGATTTTGTGCTGTAAATGATGTTTTAGATGTGCTCTGCTGTAGTTAATCTGAACAAGTACTTGCTCTCCCTCTGTCCTTCTCTCTCTCTCTCTCTCTCTCTCTCTCTGTGTCTCACTGGTGCTGGTTATTCTCTGTTTTCTGTAGGCCGTTGACACTCACAGTAGACCTTTCCTCCGTCTGTGTCCGACTAATCCTTTCACTCCTACACCGTTTAAGGTTTGTGTCTCGTGTGTGTGTGTGTGTGTGTGTGTGTTTCCTCTCCCACCTATATGCAGTTATGGATCATCTGATTTCATAACATTTGCATATATATGGCCCTAAAACCCTCTTTCTCCTTTTCTACAATATTATATATAATTATATAATAATGCATAGAATAATGTTTGCATTGCACTATGGTAACAATATATATCTAAAATAAAAAATATATAATATTATAAAAATAAAAATAAAATATATTTGTAAAATAAATATTTTAAATTTATAGTAGTTACTTTTTTTATTAATATTTGCATTGCACTATGGAAAAAAATTTGCTGTTTTGCATATATATATATATATTGTAACAATTTTGCAGTATTGGAAGTTATAATATATATATAAATACGCAGATATATGCCGATATGAACATAATTGAAAAGCAGACTTTCTTGAAGGAATTGTTTTTTTTTTATTCGCACAACACAAAGACTTGTCATTTTACCCATGTACCCATAAATCTGCATGATTTTCATTATTCTGTGTAAAGCAAAAGGAGATATTTAACAGAATACTCCTGCTGCTCTTCTCCACACAGTGAAAGCACACAGTGACCAGGAGCTTTTAAACTCAAAAAATGACAAAAATGTATCATAAATGTAGTTTTGTATCAAGAACAGACCGAAATGTAAAGAGCAGCATGAACATTCTGTGAAACATCTCCAATTTAGTTCCATATAACAAAGTTTTCCAAATTTGGAACAACATTTGTCTCTTATATATGTAACAATGTAATATTGTTATTGTATGTTGAGTAACCTCAATTTTACACTGTAACCACGATATTGATAAAAAAAATTTAATTCATTAAACATAAGTTTAGCAGGCTAACGAATGATTTGTAAGAGCAGCAGCATGTCTTGGTTTGTTGGATCTTCATGCTGAGAAATGAAGAACAGATTAATGTGTTAAATGTAATTTTGATTATGCTTCATATTTCATGGGTTTAATGGAGGATGCCATGCTGACAGATGACATGCTAATTGGATATAAATTATATCTTAATGTGTTTTATTTTTAAAACTGTGCCAGCTGAATCGAGAGGAGGGGAAAAGCTTCCTGTCGGCACCCGTCCTGTCGCTGCCTGTCGTTCCACATGTCGGGGAAACAGATTCGGACACGCTGACTGAGATTCCCGACAGACTCGTTCTTCATAACGACGGTGCTGATGAGGAAGAGGAGGATGAGTACGGATACAGCTGGAGTGAGTCTCACGTTCGCTGTAACACACAGCAGCCAGCAGAGGGTACCGATCACACTGACTCTCACTGGACTAGATTCAGAGAGAGACACTGGTGAAAAAGAAATTACAGGATTATAGGATACGGTTACACTTCATTTTACAGTGTCTTTGTAACAGTGTAACTATACATTTAAGTACTGAGTATTATTATTAACTACCTGTACTTACT